CAGTCCCAGCTCCTGTGGCGCCCTTGCTGACACAAAGGCTTGCGTGTTGGTACAGAGTGGAACTGCACACTGCCGCCAGCGGGGCCAAGGTTGTCTTGGTTTCTTTTTTGCTGGCGGTTTAAGTACTCGGTGTTTCCTGCTTGCCAGTTGGCAGAGGACTTTGTCAGTTCAAGAGGCCACCTTCAGGGTGTAGAAGGCTGTGCCTGCAGCACGGGCCACAGCCACTGCTCTGAGAGACAGGAGTTGGCGTTCCTGGCCACCCCCCCCCAGCCTGTGAAAGCACCTGCAGGGACATGACCACGTTGCTCTCCCTCTTCTAAGTTGTTTTTTCCTGAAGGGATTTGCCCTGCTTGCTTGGGAATAGGGATTCGTGGACAGGGAATCGAGAGAGTCTCCTGGGAAGCGATGGAGTCACACAGCACCACAGCAGCCCTCCAGGGAAATTTGCATTTAGGCAAATGTTCCCAAGAGCCCTTTCTACATCGTAACCATTATTGATAACGCGATTACTACGGCAAAGCCCATCTGCTATTCAAATGCCCAAGTTTATTAGTGTGTAGGGCAAAATGCCAATCTCTGCACACACACTGGTGGGCAAGAGGGGCGGGTGCCTTGGCTGAGGAGACTCACGGCCAGCAAGGTCCAGACGAAGCAGTCCTGTCATCAGTGATCAGAACAGCGGTCACGGGAAAGCACAGGGCAGTGTGGAGCAGATGGCCCCGTGAGTGCGGGCATGGCAAGTCTGGGCAAAGACCAGGAAGAAGAGGGCCTGGCTGGAGGGCTCCAGTGGGGAAGACGGGCCTGCCTAGGCCTTTGGAGGGAGCAGCTGGTAGAGCTGAATCAGGCACGATGAACACTGCACGGGCATATCCCACCATTAATCTTTGCCACTGACTCAGCTATTTCAGGAAAATGAATGTAGGAGGTCTGGTTGAAAATTTTAGACCAACTGGGCTGGTAGCAGTGCCCTGAGCAGCTCTTAGAAACCGAAGCCAAGCCAGGGAAACAATTTCAGCCTTGAAGATCTTGTGGAGCTGTTCTTTTCTAAATCTTGGGGCTGGGCGTCCGTCCCTGTGCTGCCCCCGAATTCCCACAAGTAACAGCTCAAGTTGGACACAGAGAAGTTACCTGCAGAGCAAGCCCATCAGTAATGAGTTTGCTAACCAGGCATGTGAACTTGTGGATGCCATGGAGGAAAATGCAGATCTGTCACGGTGGCAGTCTAGTCCCCAAGATGGACACCGAGCGCAGCCCAGGCCAGCCTTCCAGTGGCAGGTGGAGTCAGCCACTCCACCTGCCACCCTGACCACGCAGCAGCAAGAAACACTGTGTCTAGGGCTCCCTCCACCCAGCTATTGCAATTCTCACTCCAAGACAAATTTTATCTCCTTGTATACAATTGGAAGACGGTGCTGCTGGCCAGTTCCCTGCTGCTTTGGCCACCTCAGCCCGGACACAATACACCTGCCAGACATGGGAGTAAACAGGAGCTCTCTGGGTGTTCTGGTCCCAGCACATGTCCAGTGGAAACCACTCAGACCCCAGGCCATGTGACTCATCCGGAGGCGGTGAAGCACAGTATTTCACATCTTCAGGACTGCTGAGCAGCCGTGCATGCCACGGCAGCATGCCACTGTACGTGTGGCTGAGAGTGACCCGTAACCGGTAGAGTGTGGCTGCTTCATGGCTGTCCTGACTCCTCACCACTGTGGTCACATCCCAATTATAAGGCTTATAAGACTATGGGAAGGAGACATGGGAGAGTGGACAGTAACCTTGTACAGTCAAGACATTGCTTAAGTTCCAGTTTTGTGATGAGTTTCATCGATGGTCTTGATCAGCTTCGCCTTTCCAGGTCTGCGTTCCCCTTTGTTAAGTAGCAATGTGTCGAACAGCACTGATTTCATGAAGTCACTGACGCACGTGAAGCAGTCGGTGGCTGTCACATGTTGTGTTCGAGCCTCATGAGGAAGAGGATCCCAGAGGAAATTCTTACACTCCTCTTTAAACCCTTTCTCGGATTCATTCACACCTCAGGTTCACGGTACATTTCGGTGTCTGGAACACGGTAGGCCACTAATGAAGGCTATTGCATGAGTGACTAAATGAAGCTTGATGTTTTCAACTTGAAGACTCGTCGCTTTAACATCCAGGGCAGCTATGTGTATAAAATGTTTGGAGTCAGCTATTCTTGGCAGTTCAGCCCCCTGGGCATCTGGGACGCCTCCAGGACTATCCACCCCGTGCCAACAGTCTCATGCCCCGGATAACTGTGTACTCTGAGCGTCCGTCCCCTCTCAGCACTCATCCTACTGGCCTTTGCAGTTCAGGGGCATTCAGGGGGCGCTGGGGACCATCATTAACCTCTTCTAGGAAAGGAACACTTATCTTTGGAGGGTTACTGGGAGAATCATCTGGGTGTATCAAGAGCCAACTACAGGGCCCAGCGGCGTGGCCTAGCGGCCAGGGTCCTTGCCTTGAATGCACTGGGATCCCATATGGGCGCCGGTTCTGATCCGGGTGGCCCCACTTCCCATCCAGCTCCCTGCTTGTGGCCTGGGAAGGCAGTCGAGGATGGCCCAAAGCCGTTGGGACCCTGGACCAGCGTGGGAGACCTGGAAGAGCTCCTGGCTCCTGGCTTTGGATTGGCGCAGTACTGGCCATTGTGGTCACTTGGGGAGTGAATCATCAGACAGAAGATCTTCCTCTCTGTCTCTCCTCCTCTCTGTACATCTGACTTTGCAATAAAAGTAAATAAATCTTAAAAAAAAAAAAGAGCCAACTACAGCTTGTAGAGGTTGTCTCTAGTTCCTTCTTTACACTTGCACAATTAAACAGCAGCAATAGGTTTAATGGAATGCAATTCAGTTTTTCTGTAGTTAAGTGATGGTTTCAGCCCTGTGTATGGGCCTTCTTCTTATCTATTCCAAGGCATAAGTGCCCTGTCCAACTTTACTCTTTGCTGAGACCTAACGGAACCTGAGAACGCCAAGAATCCCTTAAGCTATGACATTTTAAGCACTCTTAAGCCTCACATGAGTGATAACAGTCAGTAATTAGATAAACAAGGTTTCTGCCATGATCAGGCGCTTGCCTTTGAGACAATGGAGGCTGTTATTCACAGCTTTATTGGGCCCTTGCACAGGGCGTCTATCAGGGACACACTGCTCCGTTTCTCTCCAGAAGTCAATGTCCCTGCACTCTGTAGCATGTGACCCACCAGTATGTCCATACAGCATGACATGAAAAGGACACACACGTGCAGATCAGCAAGATCGAAATGCATTCGACTAACACACGTGCGGATGGAAACCGCTGGAAGCTTCCCTGCGCTCCTCACTTGCGACTCCCCCCAACTCCCCAACCATTTTAAAAGGAGACTTTGTTCCATGCGAGACAAATTCAATTAATCAGATTTTCCTAAGAAAGGTACCTTGTGGTAAGCCTGTGGGTTGTGTGGGGAAACCCAGAGGGCCAATGTTGAAACCCACAGCTGACTTTCACACCTTGAAATAAATCAGTTTCCAAAAAGGAGGTTTCTGTTGTTCATATTTAAACCTTGTCCCATGCACAGCTCAATGACAGCTTCATTTTCAAAGTCAGAATCCTTCCTCCAGAGTCCTCAATCTCCCATCTACAAGACTTTGGAGGAATTCGGTCCAGTCCTGAGAAGCTGATTCATAGAGTTCTACTGGGTGACGGTGAGGAGCAAAAGGAACTGGACTGAGCAAGGACAAAAATAATTTCACAAATATTCCCATGTGAGTTGACTCATCTCATTCTAGTTAGCTGCTGTAAGTCAAAATTACGTGGGGTTTAACACGAAGTTCAGCCTACTAGCCCAGAGATCATTTGTTCTTTAGGAAAATCAGTTCTGCTCAAAATATAACAACAACAATACATTACCAGTGGCCAGCTTTTAGCCAGAATGGTGGAATTTCAGGATGAGCTTGTTCATTCTGACAGTTTTTAAGAGTCATGGCAGAACTGACACAAGAAACACGCAGAGGTCACGGCCCAGCCGTACTTGTGTCAAGCTGGCAGATTCTACAGCTCTGTGGTTGCTTCTTGGTTTGAGGAAGATACCCAGAAAATAATTTCCCTTCTGCTTCCCACTGTTTGTTACATAAGTTACTTTCAGCATTCAACTTGCACATACCTCATGCACACGCTCTCCGTATGAGCCAATGTGAAAGCTGCTGTCATTCACCCCAGTCAGCGTCCCGATGGAGCTGGAGTCTCGTCGCGCTGTCACTGAGTGGCACACGCTTCATGTTCAAGACGCATCAAAGGCGGTGAGTGGGAACAAGTGCCACGTCCAGCTCCAGCCTGTGGACGCGACAGGGCTTCCACCTCACTGGCCTTCACTTTGTTTTTTTGGCCTAAGGTCAGTGATGGTTACCCAGCAGACTGAATATGCTGAGAAGTAAAAATCAGCATCCACTTGTTACAACTTGCATCATCGTGATTTTAACCCAAGGATATCCTAAGATGAAATATTTTACTTCTAGTGCCTTTTGGCACTGGCTATTAGGGGAGTGACGAGCCAAATATATAGCCCACTTATAATTTGTCTTGTGTATAAAGTTCAGGCCTGGTTTAGTATTTTCTTTATAATTTCCTCTCTCTTCTTGTTCTAAATAAGTTTTATCAGTTTATATACATAAACCTTATAATCAGGCTAAGTTAAAAATAACTCATGCATACTATACACATCACAGATGGATTCAGGAAAAAAATACATATTTAAAAAATGGTGATGTTGGTTAGAAAATCTATATTGTCCTTTTAAGGCAATATTAGACTTACAGGAATCTGAATTTCAGGTGCTAAAAGTGAAAAAAGAAAATGGATTCAAATAACCACATATGTTTCCCTGAAGTTCTTTCTCAAAAGGTTCATTAAGAAGTGGAAGCATTCAGTTTAAAAAAAAGAATAAAAGAAAAAAAAAAAAAAAGAAGTGCAGTTGGGGGTGGGGTGGTATATTACAGTATCCAGGGTAACCAGAGGTGGATCTTTATTTCACAAGGTTCAAGATACAGTACAAAACAAATCTGTACAACTCTCTATTAACAGGATCTGTGTACACAATTATATTACACTTCACCACCCTTTATACTGTGTTTCATTAAATACAAAATAAATTTACCAAAAAAAATGTCTACCATGGTGTTCCTTCACAATGCCAGCTTACAGTTTTCTTTTTAAACTTCCTCTCCTAAATATTTATAGTGGTTATGCCTTGATCATTATCAGCATCTCAGTCAGTCTGTTTGTCCAAACAGGAAAACCAGCATTCTCTGAGATGGCTCCCTGCACACAACCACGAGATCCTTGCCACGCACACAATGTCAGATTTTCACTTGGGTCAAATAGTCACTTTAAAATGCAGAACATTTTTACCTGTTTTAAACTCTCTCGAAATACCGTAACAATGGAGAAATTTTCCTTCTTAGTGAAACTTGCATCATTTAAAAACCAGGTAGTGCCAAAGACAATATAGCATCCAGATATTTTTATTTTCACTTACATGTAAGAGTGATGACCAATGAAAAATATCTGTATGAAAACAGAAGAAGTTTTCTTTTGCTCTGGTTATTTCATGCATGCTGCTAGTCACAATACTGTGTAATGTATGTCGGACTGACTCTCAGAACAAATGCTAGCCGTCACTGGAACAGACAGCCGTGCTCCCCTGGCAGGTGGAGGGCTGCTGGCCTGACGCATCTCCTCTGAAATGTGCAGGTGATGGATCAGTCCTTTCCAGAAAGGAAGTTTCTGCATGTCTAGTTAGACATTAATAAACACGCTACACACAAGGAATTGTGGTTTTCATTCATAGGCCTCCATGCACACTTCCAACATAACAGTTTTAAGAACACGGGGAACAGAGCAGGGAGCGAAAACAAAGCAAGATGAAATGAAAAGCCGCCCAAATTCCCAATATATAACAAATCTCTAAGCTTCCTGGAGGCACGAACCAGCTCTTCAACTGAATAACTCATCGGATCATCACCAGGACACTGCTGAAATTTTTCTAAAGCTTCACAACAGTATAGAAATAAAATAGTGGTAAAACTTACAAATTAGTCTTTTATGTAGAGCATCTCTTGATACTCAAGCTGTCAAGATTAATGATTCACACGTTAGTCTGATTTAAGTCCTGAATAACAAAGTTGGAAAGCTTTGATTTACTTTTTTTTCTGTGCCATTTGACTAATAATAAGGGAAGCCTCACCCAGGAAACAGAAACAACAACATCAGGCAAAAACAAAAACGAAAACAAACAAGGAGCTGGGGGAGGGAGAGGAAAAGCACCAATACTACCTTTGTCCGACAGAACAGCAGCAACACCGACACACTCGAGATCCTGAAACAGCTGGCTAAGCAACACCCCAGATGCACAAGGAAAGACTGGCTTAAGTTAGAATTCTACTGTCATCCCCCGTTGCAAGGCAGGAAGACTCTAAGACTATCAAGGAAGATGAGCTACCAGAGAGAAATGAAACCACACTCTGTTAAGTCTAAACTCTAACATTAAAACTCCTGAATCCTGGAGTTAGTTTAATGTCACTGACATTAACTAGCTTTAGTTATTGTCACTTTATTCAAATGGATGCCATTTGATTAGGTAAATATTGAGCATTATTTTTAGGAGAAAAGCCTAACCTAGTTCCTCTTAGGTACCAACGTCCCATTAACAAAACAAGAAAAAAGGGAGCAAAGAAAGTCTTTAAGAACAAATTATGTTACATAAACTATTCCAAACTTCTGGTAGCCAATGACCCAGAGTGAAACACAAGATGGGAGGAAGTTGAGAAAAGGATATCCGAGCTAGGACTGGTAAGAAAGCGGATAAAGCAAGGGACAAACTTGAACAAGGCTGCCCTTTCCCCTCTGGCCTCAGGTCGTGCACACTGCTTTAAGCAAACATTTCTTAGAGGGAAGTAAAGAGATTTAAAAAGAAGAAGGAGTTCCTAAAGGATTTAGTAGATGGATGGTGGAGGAAAAACAAGATGCAAGTTGACAGTCACCTCAATTTCAAGGTCAAAGAAAACAATATAGCTTCTTCGGAATGAAGTGCGGCTGCTCCAATGGATTATACTTACACTTCTGAAGAGAAGAGGCAGTGCAGATAGCTCGGCACTACATCAAGGGCACGCAAAACGCGAGGGTTACAAGCCTTGAGGTTCCCCAGAACCGCCCACCGTCGCACTTCCCATTTCCTAACCTTCTCACGTGTAGTTCTCTCTGTGACAATCTCTGTAAAGTTACATGCGACTATCTAGGAGGAAGCTTTTCTCAATAGTTTCCCATAATCATCTAAACACAAAAATAGTAGACAATTTTATATGTAAAGCCTTCCATGTTCATTCTGGATTAATTTAGTTCTAAATACAATTCCAAGTTCAAACACTCAAGGATTACAATTCTGCAAGTAGCAAACTCTTCACCTCTTCTGGAAGATGGGTGATTATGGGAAAACAGTTTATTCTAAGTAGACTGTCAGGAGGCATAAAAAGCTTGCTTGCTTTCTAATGCAGTCTTAGGCTGGTGAACACCACTTGACAGTGGAAGGAAATATAAATTCGGTTTAATTCTTCCATTTATGTGATCATGGGACCTCAGTTTAGTTGTTGTTTTACCACCCCTTAGTATTTCATCACATGACTCTGAAGTGTAGCAGCCTTGATTTTTCTAACCCTAGCAGGAGGACAATGGTGAGGTCAAAAGTTAAGCAGGCAGGTGCTTTTCTACTGTGATACAGACTGCCAGAGAGAAGGATCTATGTGAACAGGCTCCAGCTTGTGTCTACCGTGTAGTCTGATCCATGTCGGATTCTCTGTCAGACACTTTGAGTATAGTTAGGGTAGTCCGTGTATGCCCCATGTTGGGTGATCTGTTAATTTTGTGTGATAAGAAACAGAAATTAAAATTAGTCCTGGGAACAAATCCTTCAACGTTTGGGAAAGTGTCTGTGATCTTGGTACCTCATTACCCAGAGTTCTTCCTTCTCCCATTTAGTCAGTCCGTCCTCTGGCTCTAGCGTCAAGGCTCCACATACTCCGAACAAGCTCATTACAGAGCGTAGGTGGGGTGATTCACATGTTAGTGCAAGGAGTCACACAGTTTTACACACTTCTCATTTCAAAGAGGTGAGGTTCACATAGAATTCATTAACCACACCTCTCAGTCTCTGAAGGAGGGAAGTATAGGACGTATAGTACAAAGTAGGACAATCACCAACAGGAAGAAACCTCTCAAACTTTTTAAAATAACAAATATGCAGAATACATATACTGCATCGGGACTAGCCAAAGTTTCTCAGTTGTCACAGTTCCAAAGCCCTTTTTTTTTCTTGTAACTTAAAAAATCGATTCTGTTTTTAGACTTTCAAATATCTTAAAGGTTAAATCTGCAATGAATTGGGCTTTCCTTTTTAGGACGATCGGATCGGTTTTTACTGCCAATGCACAAGACTTCAAAGATGGCTTAAGAACTTACGCACACCAGAATGGCAGGCCCCGAGAGAGAGAGCTGGATGCAGCGAACGTCACTTTGAGTGTCTTTCTTGTTTCCAATGGAAAACAAAAGAAAAGAGGAAAGCCACGGAGAGCTGTTATTCCATATGGCACTGAGACAAACATTCAACTTAGTTTAGGTGAGAGTTACTCATCCCTGAAAATAAAGGCATCAGATTCTAAGCAGCTTTAGAATTCCACGCTTTTGGTGCTTCTTCCAGGAGGGGCCACTGATCCAAAGTCCTAAGCCAAACCCAAGTGTTCTCAGCAAAGGCCGACCGAGGCTGGGAACAGTGTCTGTCACTGTGCTGCCCCCTCCTGCTGGGGCGGTGCTGGCCGGGGTCCAGGGGGCCGGGGCCCGGGCATGTCCTGGTGCTGCCGCTGCCTGTATGCTATGACTGTTCCCAGAAGCAACGCAATGACGGTCATAAGGTAAAGGTCCCACTCTGGTCCCAACAGCTGGTCCATATCCAGATGGGTGAACATATCTCGAATCTTAAAGGAAAGTAATACAAAATAGTTAGTGTCACTACAGTGTGCGGGGAGGAACTGGCTGAACAGAGTTTGTATTTTATAATTGCTGGTGATGTACGGTGTCTCACGGGGTACTTTCCATCATTCATCTAGTGTACTGATTACCAGGCATTTTTCACAGAAAATATTTGAAAAGAAACCTGAGACAGCAGTGGACGAGGAGAAGTCTGTACCTGGACACTCTGGTGCAGCCTAGCTACAGAGAAAACTCATTAAAAGGCTCTGGGTTAACTACAAGCACAGCTGACCCCAACACTACAGGAATCCAAACGTTGAACAGCTGAATAAACAGTGCCTCTTGGTTAGGATTGAGCAGGTGAATTTGCACTTAAATGTTATATTCTTATTCACTGGTATTTTAATGGTCTTGGTGTCATTTAAAAGAAGTTACCCTGACACTGTCTGGGGTATACAACGGTCATGGAGTGTACAGACACAGAGTGTGGCCCTTCCTATGCATAACAGTGCACTTAACAGAGCCCCACGCTACATATTCATAAGTGCAGATGCTAAACTGTTCTGGGGAAAAGATTTACAAGAAACTCGGTTTCCTGGGGAAAGACCAGAACTGTTTGACTTGCTTGTTATCTCTACCTACCAAGTTTTTTATTTATTTATTTTTCCATTGGAATATGTGGGTGGTAGGATTACGGGATATTTTATTATTGCTGTTATACTTCTACATGCAAACAAACAGCAAAGATATGATATACTCCTTATGGTATAGGATTGTATACGATTGGACTCTAGCCAATCGTTTCATAATGGTTAAAACTGTGGGAGACAAGAGTCTGAACCAGCCCTGATGGAGAAGCAGTCAGCTGCCACATGACTAGCTTTCTACTGACAGAAAGATCAGCTGAGTTAGCAGAGGGTCCAGCACACGCTGCAGGACACTAAGCAGGTGCAGCAGATGACACGTGCCCACCGTGGCCCCAACGAGAGCCCAGCATCTGCAGCGCTCTGGGGCCCTGCACCTGCACGACCCTGGCAGCGCAGGCTAAGGACGGGCAGGCGAGAAGGGCTGGTTTCCTCATTGATGCTGGAGAACATGCATTTCAATAACATCAGGGATTCAAGCCAGTTCCTCTGACGACTCACCAGCTCTGTACTGGGGTTGTCGTGGATGGCTGCCTCCCAGGGCCTCTGCTTAGTGAGGAACTGGAGTCGGGACCCTCAGCCAGGCATAAAAACCCAGGCACTCCCACGTCGGACAGAAGCATCTTAACTGGTATGCTAAACATCTGATGCCTCGGTTTTTTAAGCATACACTTTTCATAAGTGGGCAGGTAAAACTATCTATATTTTAGTAAAAAGGAGACACAGACTACTTACATTTGTTTCCCGTATATACTGCAAGAAATAGACCACGCCCAACTTGCAGAGAGCCAGGAAGACCGGGACCTGCGCATCCGGGCTGGCCTCGGCTGCCATGTCGTAAAAACGCTTGGCGAGGTGAATGTCCTGCGAGACAGAGGACAAGACACAGTTTACTTCTTACCGAACTGGCGGAAATATATTCAGTTTTTGAAAATGAAGAAAATTCATCTAACCTCTCAAATTTTCATTTAGAAATGAATTTTCTTCACCTAGAGGAAAATGCCAAGGTTGACTTTGGTAAAATCTGTCTTCTGAATTTTCAAAAAAAATGTAATGAAAAATTAGCATGTATTTCCCCCCAACAAAATATCCCATTTACTGTGTAGAAATGCTCAATACGCACACACACACACATCTATTTAAGCATAATACTGCTAACTTGGGAGTTCTAAGGGCAGCCTTTAAGTTTCAAGCTCATTTTTTATCTACCGGAAAATCAGTGTTAGGGAAAAACTGGTTTCAGTTTGAGACAGTTCTCTTGAAAGTGGGATAAACACACTCCAGACTTTCTGAGAGTGACTCGCACGCACAGTGTGAGGAGATGCGGTCTCACAGTTCCTGAACTTCCTGCGTGCTTGTGCTAAACGCACGGTCCTGAGCAGCACGCCCTCCCACCGCCTCATCCTGCTCTCAGGCGCACTGCCTTCGGCTCGTCCTCTCACAAACGGCTCTGCAGAAGGCATCTTGGACTAATCTCACGATGGGCAATTTCATATTTCCTTCTATTAGTAATACTGTGAGAGGAGAGACAAGTCATTACGAGGCTGGCCCAGATGGGTGTGTCATCTCAGCTAGGTGGTGGGATATGATGCGGGGATTTATGACAAGGTTCACTTGAGAATCCTTCCATGTCCTACTGGCAAAGAATACCAGACTTTTAGGGAACAATTTTGTGAGATATGAGAAAGCAAGCCTTATTCTTACAAATGAATTTGCTCCTCAGATATGTAAATATAAGCAGTTACTGCTTATTCTTATCTCTAGATGGTATCATTAGCTAAAATGATTAGTATGTCTGATTTTTTGAAAAAAAAAAAAAAAAAAAAAAACTCCTCTCACTCTTACCAAAGGAATACTGGGCCTGACGTTGACCATATTCTTTGTTCACAAGAATTTACACTACATATCTGACATAGTGCAAGTTTAGTTGTAACAAACAAGAGCACATTATTTTTTTTTCTTTTTTCTTTTTTCTTTTTTTGGTGAAGTTATTTATTTATTTTATTTTGACAATCTTTACATAGTTAATTTGGGTAAAAAGGTTCAAGGGCTACAGGAAAGTAGGTAAGATTATTGTGTCCATATTGTTTCCTTCATGTATCTGAGGTAAAGGGGGATATTGAGGGAGAAGCCCCACCCAGTTTCCCACCCACCCCAAGTCCCACATGTGGGGCATGCTCTGAGATACTAGAGCACATTATTTTTTATAACATGATACAAATACGGTATTACTTGCAACATTTTAATCTTGATTGCTTTTGGCAAATTACTAGAGATTATCTCATAAATGCCATAACTTATATGTGATCTTTATGCTAGTCACCCTTGTTTTTCTGATGAAAATGAATTCTGATTTGACTGTGTGACCTGCCAGTGAAGGGCTTTCATCACTGTGCACCACGCCCAGGCTCTTCCAGGGACAGTGCACCTAGCCTGCAGCTGCACACTCTTCTTAGTTCTCAAGCATATTGCATTAACAAAGTGTCTGTGATAGAGAGGCATAAGTAATAGTTATTTCTTGAGTCTTGTTAAAATGTATTTTTAAAAAGATTGTATTTACTTGATAGGCACAGTTACAAAAGAGAGGAAGAGACAGAGAAATCTTCCATCTATTGGTTCAGTCCCCAAACGCCTGCAGTGGTGAAGTCTGGGCCAGGACTGAACCAGCAGCCAGCAGCATCAAGGTCTCTTACGTGCTGTTAGAGGCCCAAGTATTTAGACAGTTTCCCCTTGGACAGGAAGTGGAGTAATGGGGACCTGAACCAGTGCCCGTATCAGATGATGGCATCATAGGCACTTCCACACCTCTTTCAGAAACTGGGAGTGAGTGGTTCCAGTGGGCAGGGAACATATCCTTTCTCATCTCTGGTTTCTAGTTCTTTGGTTTCAATCCAACTGAGATGGGATCTAATCAAGTTAACACCAGACAGATTCTAAAAAATTTTTCTATCACAGACCACTTTGGCTTTTTTTGCATAAAATCATAAGGCAGTTTAAAAGATTAAGTCATTCTGCTTTTATAAAAATTCTTTTCCTTTACATATATTTATTTGTGTAAGACATTATGCTTATGAAGATAAGAGAATTAAAGCTAAATGGAAACAGATTAAAAACACTCCATCTATTGCATTAAAAATAATTTAAAAATTTAACGCAAAACAAAAAACTTCATAATATTTTGATCAGTGATGTATTAATAAATTATTGACCAACTATGACTAGTAATTTCTCCTGAATTCTTAATATTTAGATCATAGGAAATAAAATTCATAATTTATTACATGTTTATTTCCTATGAGACTAATTAGCAAAGACCTAATCATTAAAACAGATTTATTACTATACAAGTCTACAGCAGAGGCTAAAAATTAAAATTTAGAGAAAAAAAAGTGGTCTAGATTCTAGTTAATGCATTTGATTATTAAAGCATTTAAATACTGATGGGTTATCAAATTACTTTGGTATTTAGATACTGTTGACTACTATAAGAGCAATTTAATAATTCAATTAAAATGTTAATTTTAATGTTAATTATTGTTAATTAAAATGTTAATAATGTTACAATCGCTGGAATTTTAGATACTTTGAAACTAAGAAAATTTTAAATGTGTGAATAGGTTGTACTTCAAAGTTCCTTGGCACGTACATAAGCTAGAACTGACTTCATTAGGAAGTTGTAAGAATTGGAAGTTTATCTATACAAAACATTTTTATTCAGTTGGAAATAAGTTAAACAGTAAAATACGGCTGAAGTTGGGCAGATTGCCAATGGACCAAACAGCAGAAGCCGCGCTGTATTTCTGCTTTCAGGACTCTATCATAATGGTAAGAGTGTAACAGTGTGGATATTAATATGTGTATGTGCTGTGCCAGAAGACACATATATCACTACAAATCGGTTTCATAAACCAGTGGTCCCAAATCTGATTGAATTCAAAGTAAATTTTTTTATGCAAATTAAGATGTTTCCTTCACTCACAGTGACTTTATTCAAGTGTTTGTTGTGAAGCCAGGTACCTGTTTAATGCCCAGTCCTTTCTCATGCATGTACCCCAGGTTGAACATGGCTTGTGCGCTGTGCTGCTGCTCGGAAGCTAGCCGGTAGTGGATGAAGGCAGTCTCGTAATCCACGTCCGTGCCGAATCCGTAGAAGTGGTAGTCTCCCAGCTTAATTCTAGCCACTGTGTAGCCTGAAACAAAGGGCAATTGCAAACCTGCAGGTAAATCAGGCTTCAACATACCCAGCTGCCGTATGTGCTAATATAAATAACTTCAGCGTACGGCACTCAAGCTTTAGGACAAATCCGTCTCCCAGTTACAAAGTTGGTAAAAACTTCAACTTGAAGGGCAGCTCTTCTGCAGAAGGCTTTGCAATAGTCTGGGAGAGATAAACAGGTGGGGGTACTATACTTCTTCAAGTGACCAAGATCTACTTCATCAAAGTCACTTACGTTTAACCAAATAGCTCCTTGTGGCCACTGCTGTTTAGATGTGAAGAGGGGACAAACAGAGAGGGCTGAGAGAACGCTATGTGTGACAAAGAAATATTAAAAAAAAAAAAAAGGTGGGAAAAGGCTAGAGGTTTTTGGGTTTTGGCTTCTGTTGCAATTTCTATTCCACTCTCTCATTTTGTATGGCCTCAAATTAGAAGACCACAAGGTGATGGAGATCTAGCAGAGACGTGAGACCCCGGCCCTGAAACTACTGCTTTAGGAATCAGTATAAACAAGTTAAACAATCAATTGTTGCTTAATTTCAAGGAATGAACCGGAACGAGTTAATATTCACGGAAGTTAGAAGAGACTGCAACAGGGTTTCCTGGGTGAAACTCTTCCCTGATAATCAACCACTTACCTTGCGAGGCAGCTCTGTTCCAATGCAGCAAAGCTCTGGGATAAGTTTCATTCTCACCTACAATAGTGGCTTCTCCTACAGAAAAAAGAAGTGAAATACAAATCAGGCAAAGGCGCCAGACTTTCAGGCTTCATTAGCCAACTCGGTGAGTGCACACAGCCCAACCTAAAAAGGGCCAGGGTACCACAAGCACTGGAGTGAACCAGTTACAGAATAAAATTCGGAGTTCAAAGGAGTCCCTGGATTCAGGACAGCACACACTTTATCCACAGCACCAACAACGAGACTAATTATTCAGCCGCTTATAGGAATCCACAGCTTTGGGAAAATGGCATTCTTGTGCCCAGCTTATTTAAAAAAAAAACACATTCACTGAGTGCAATTACTTTGAATGTGATTGTCAGATTTGTTTCAATGGTCAGTTCTAATTATTAAATTAATGCTGGTGATTTAGGGATCTGAAGTGAAACAAATTAAACATGTGAGTTAGGTTCCATTGACAACAAATGAAAGAACATTTCTTAGAGGCTGCTCTTTTTAAACAAGCTAGCCCCATGTGAACTCAGAGCTGGGGGACGCCTTACTTTGATCGAGGATAAAGGCCGCGTTGCTTTGTGCCACTTCGTAGCCCTGTTCAGCCAGCAGGAGGTACTGGATCACCGCAGCATTGTAGTCCCCATCTTTGTAGCTGTTGTAGGCGGTCATAAGCCGCTCCGACCAACGGCCTCGTTCACACACATTCTTAAACAACTGTGAGAAGGTGAAGAAACAAACATAAAGCCACGAAGAGCTGCTGGAAAGTCAACTTCTGTGCTCTGGTTACAAGTGCTTGTTACATTGCTCTGAACCTCTGCACACTTGTTTTCACCTAGGATTTTTTTCATGATTACTTTTATCTTATTTGAAAAGCAAAGTTACTACAGAAAGAGAAGAGAGATTCCATCTGCTGACTTACTCTCCAAATGGCCACCATGGCCAGAGCTGGGCCTGTCTGAAGCTAGAAGCTAGGAACTTCCTCTGGGTCTCCCACATGGCTGCAGCCCTGTTCAAGGCTTTGGGCCAGCCTCTACTGCTTTCCCAGGCCACAAATAGGGAGCTGGATCAGAAGTGGAGCTTCTGCTGGGACTCAAACTGTGGAACACTAGCCTGATATTGCCACTGCGCCGGCTTCCACTTAGTCTTTTCTTATTATTATCATGATTTTTAGTGTATTTATTTTGTTTGCTTGAAAGGCAGAATTACAACAGTGGGAAGAGAAAGAGCTAGCTCCCGTCTCTCATTTCCCAAACGCTTGTAATAACCAGAGCTGGGACAGGCTAATAAAACGGGGAGCCAGAAACTCAATCCTGGTCTCCCATACGGGTGACAGTAACCCAAGTACCTGAGTCACCACCACTGCTTCAGTGGGTGCACATTAGCAGGATGCTGGAATCAGGAAATGAGCCAGTTTCCAAACCCAGGCACTCCAACACGGGAAGATGGCACCCCAAATAGTGCGTTAACCACTATGCCAAACATCTTCCCTTTCACTGACTAGAGAAGTCAACAGGTTTACACACCATTTACCCTAGCTCTGCACTGTTCTGATGATATATGGATATTAACACACTAATCCTACTATAAAGTTCGTAACGTGCCACTCGATGAGGTAACTAAGCATACAGAGAGATCTGGAAACTTGGCTAAGCATTTATCATTTACATTTTAAAGTACTAGGCTTCAGAGAGTTAAAGGAAAATTTCCAGTCTGGATATATTCTCATTCATTCCCCTTTGGAATTTCGTTCAAGACATACTTTTTTGGATACTGTCTTAGGTACTTTAATATTAACCACACCAACATCTGTCCTTATAAATGTTAGTAACAGGGAGATACAAACTAAAGTATAACAGCTATACACAGATGCTGAGTCTTCCCTCCGATATCCATACTAGGAGGCTGAGTCCGGTCTTTTTGCAGAAGAATTGCAAAGAAACCCAGAATTACAAAGACATACTGTCCTAGTGGGCAAGTCAATATCCCATAGATGAGCTGGCAGAAAAGCCCTTACCTCCACTGCCGTGTGACAGGAACGCATCACACCGGTGCCGCTGGCATGCATCTGTGCCAAGTTATAGAAAGCCAAGATATGGCCTCCCTGAGAAGCCAAGTTAAAATACTTGAGGGCCTGTTTATAATCTCTCTTAACTCCAATGCCATCTGTAAAAAAATGAACCGAATCAGAGGTTAGTTACAGCCTTAAATGAGATGTAGTTAAGCATTAGAGAAGACTTAGATATGAAAAGTAAAGCTGTGAACTGGTACTGAGTAAATATGTGAATCTGATTACTATAGATTATTAAAATAACTGACAATGAAAAACTACTTACTGTAGTACATAGAACCAAGCTGTAGCTGCCCATCCACCCAGCCTTGTTCAGCAGCTTTCTGGAAATACTTCAGTGCCAGGTCATAATTCTGTAGAAAGACATGTCATACAATAAGAAACATCAAAAGGCTGACATAATCAGGAGTTAGGGATCCACAAGGTACCCACAAAACCGTCCTTGAAGGCAACAATAAGAACTATCGTGCGCTTTATTATAGCATATAAAGCCGTAATATAATTTAAAGTATACAGATATTAATAGTTAGGACTTTTGCAAAGTAATTTGCTTATTCTTAGAAAGCACAACTGCCAACAGAGACTCCATGTCAGGAATGAGGAAACAATCTTCCTTACTAACCAACCAGTCCTTTCAGGTGCTCCTTCCCTGTGTGCCTTATCAAACATGATATGACTAGACTTGAAAGGTTACATGCATCCACAGAGAAAAGTTAAAATAAAGATTACTATTGACTCACAATCCTAATATGACTACAAGAAACCCAAATAAGATAATGTTCATCAGTTTTAGGGAACACTAGCTCAGACTATTTAGTCTGAAGCTCAAAAGAACATTCCTTTGGAGAGATCAGAGGAGAGGGCAGCATCACAAGTCCAGGACATCCAGGCTGAGCTCACAGCAGAGTCTAGAGTCACAGAACCATGGAGAAGACAGCTTAGGCGAGGTAGAGCCAAAGTGTCAACTGGCTACTGGTGACTGGAACAGAGAAAGCAACTCTATGAGGCAGACACCTAACTGCTGAAAGCGAGAGTCAATAACCAGCCCCTTCATCAAGTCCATCCACTAGAGAGAGACTGGAGAGCAGAGGTGGAGAGGGACAAGGGACAAGAGGCAGGATGCAAAGCCTGTCCCTCCTGAGTGTGGGTGCTGATGATCTTCTTAGGGTGAAGTCGAAAAACAGGCCAGGGATGTTTCATCTCTGGAGAAATGCAAGAGCTGGCAGGGGAGCAAGCATGGACAGAAGAAGGAGTGAGCAGCTTCACGCCTTCAGAAGATGGTAGCAGAGATGGAAGCTGAAAAGGACAGTGGATGAAGGTGCAGAATGCAGGGTGGCGGCCAGCAACACTCTGAGGTAATGGTGGGGCAGCTTCACCTGGCTATTGGTTAAGATGGCCCCACCTCATTGGCTGACTGCTTATTACAGTCAGAATGTGCAACGCAATACTTACAACTTGAACTCCTCTTCCATAGAGGTAGGCCATTCCAAGCCCACTCTGTCCAACGGGGTTGCCCTAAAAACCGGAGAAATAAAACAGATGAGTGGGAAGAACTCATTAAAAACAGGCAAAAGTAAATAATTATGAAATAATTATGAAATAAATCATTTTCAAGCATTTTCAAAACATGTCAGTGTTTTCTGATACAAAGCAAAAAATTCCATGTCAGACAATTTAACATCGACATTAAAACATTTAGCAACTTTCAGTAATTTGCTGAAAAGAATAAACAGCAAGTTAATTTCAACTAAAATTCAGTGACTTATCTTTTGACCAGTTGTGCCAAGAAATTTTGCTACAAAATATGACTAACACATTTTGTACAAATCAAAGCGGGTTATGTGTTTCTTTTTTTCTTTTTAGGTAGTTTCTCATTAAGACATCATGGGATAAAATCACCAGTCTTGTTACAGCAGTCGCACTACCATCAGGCTGCAAAGATACACTTGAGGTTACCTGAGTGTTCTAAAGATAACCATTGCTTTAAGATCAGGAGAGAAAAAAAAATATTTTATTTAAACAAAATGAACAGCTTCCATGTGTTTTACAATGTAGGCTTAGGAGCAAATGACACTTGTAACCTGCCTTCTGAGTGTGTTGCCCCCTCCGCCTCAGAAGGCATCTTATAATAAGAGTTTGCACTGCTCCTCTGGGAAGCACACAAGATTAACGCGAGATTAGGGTGACTGTAACTTGCCAAGTAAGTGGACACCTGGGAGACACAGGGTCCTAAGGAATCATGTGTAGTCTTCTCAGGTTCAGAGAAAGCTTAAATGATGTGCCATGGCTATCAAAAATACCCAATTATGTAGCCTTTTAAACTTCATGCTGCAATACAAATAGGGCAGATTATCTAACTCCCGATTCCATTACTAAAATAAATATTCCTCTGATTAAGAAACTACTCAGAGACACACAAACAGAAAGTTAATATTCAACAACTAGTCCTTAAGGAAAAACTGTTTTTTATAGGAAAAGTTACATACAGCAAAACAATTCACATGGTTCATATTTACATATGTGCTTTTACTAACTTGTGGCACGAGCTAGGTAATGATTCATCTCACAACACAATAAATGTCTTTACTGTAACAGTAATGTGGTTGTCATTTCAGGACGCACAGTCATGAAGTCTTACCATGTCGGCAGCTTTCTTGAAATAGTGCAGCGCCGTCTCATTACTCTGCGGCACGATATCGCTTCCCTCGGAGTACATCTGCCGAACAGACCCCCAGTCCGTTAGCAGCTGGACCTTCTCTCCAGCTACACTTTCCTCCTATCTCATTTCACTTTGGTTCTTAGGTTGGATCGCATGGAGAGCACCCAAAGACTTCAAATTTAAAAAACAAACTCTTCAAAGCCAACACATTTACATTATGTATTAGATGTCAGCTTCAATTCATGACTTATCTTTACACAGGAGTACATAAAACCAGCTCACAGCTCAGTTTCAAGAGGAAATCTCTAACCCCGAGGTGCATCCGCTTTCTCTCTACCTGAGGGCAGTGACAAGCCGACAGGGTCCCTGGCATCACATCAGGGATCAGTCAGGGCGCGTCTAATGGCACTGCCCGCTCTCCCTTGCCCTGTACCACAACTGTCCCTGGGATAACAGTGGTCTTACGTTTAGGAAAATCAACAACTAAAATGCTATTTCAAAAAGCTTTAAACACTGGACATTAGAAGCATCTGGTATGAAGCAAGGCCGACAGAAAGGATGACCCATGCCATGTCTGTCATGCTGAGGAAACAACAAAAGGAAAGCACGTGTAACAAAGCAGACGGGCAACAGCCACGTCTACGCTACAGTGGTTGGAATAACCAAACCAAGTCAACAGGCTATGATGAACTATTTGTGATCACACGCAAACGAAATATTCCTATTTGTAAATTCCTTGACATATGATCCATTGGAACTTTCTTACTTAGGATTTGGTTATAGATAAAAACAGTTATGGGTTTATCTTGCATTAGTTTCCAAAATAAGCAAAAATGAACTTTTGTGACGGTTCTGTGATATGGCACTTGTTAGACATAAACATTTCTGTGTTTGAGAAAAGAACTGGACTTTGAGGGGGTTTATATCTGTCACATTTAAGACAAGGAAAAGGGTTGGTGTTGCGCAGGGTGTAAAGCTGCCGTCTAATGTCAACTTCCCGTATGGGCGTCAGCTTGTGTCCTGGTTACTCTACTTTCAATTCAATTCCCTACTAATGGTCTGGGAAAAGCTGAGCCCATGCCATCCAGGTGGGAGACCCATGCCAAGTGCATGCCTCTTCTCTTGGCTTTGGTCTGGCTCCGCCCTGGCTGCCGTAGCCATCTGTGGAATGGGCCAGTAGATATCTCTCAGTGCCCCTCTGCAGTGGCTCTTCTGCATGCATGCGTGCAGAAATAAACAAATAAAGATTTTTTAAAAAAGGTAATTAAAAGGTCTGCTTAAAATATAACATGCCTCCACTAGAAACTTTATTTCCAATTTATTTTGGGTAACCTGTAGATTTTGAATGCTCTTTATCCTTACTGTGAAACACTCCCTTCTATTACATAACACATTCACAGGCCATACAATACCTTTCCCAAGAAAGCCATAGCATGCGAATTGCCAGCATTAGCTGCCAAGTTGAAGTAGTCAAACGCTCTCTGTGAGAAAAGAAAGTTTTAAACAATCAGCTTTTAATGGAATCAAGTTTGGCAAAAACAGGAACATTTTTAAAATCTTGTAATATTACAGTGATTTAAAAAATAAGATCCAGTTGTATTTCAAACTAGAAATGAACACATCCAAATTTTATTTTGTTAAAAGACAACTGTATCACCGAGTCTTTTTAAGAGTTAGAAACACGAAGGAATTTCTTGTGTTTCCTAAACTGAAGCCCCAGAAAGGCTTCTGTTATTTACAGGGATAGGGAACAGCAGGCTCCCTGGGAGAATCCACAGCTGCTCAACTCTTATCTCCTCCTCTCCTGTAACCTTGGAAGGGGAAAAATCAAAGCCTTTTCAAGGCGTGGAAAGATGTTTCAAATAACTGTAAAGAAGCAAAATTTCCTTTTTGTTCTCCTTAAGAGTAAAATTCTTGAATCTGCTTAGAAGCTTACACCTAAACACACCAGCATCATTAGAAATTAGAAATTATCCCAGTTGAGGACCCAGCACTGAAGGCCTTTGCTACTTCCTGCTCATTTAGCCTCCCTCTGAACTCTCCCTGCTCAAATGCATTCTAGTCCTTCTCAGATCCCCGATTTCTGTCCGATGATGACCGTTGCTTTGCCATAGCCAGCTTCTCAAATGAACTGTCTGCATGCGCTGCAAATACATCTTGAATCCATTTATTACTTTTCATTACTACAGCTCTCATCCAAACAAATTATCTTTCACTTGAATCTCTGGAACAACCCTCCCCCTGACAACCCTGTTTTAAACTTGGGGTGTTCTAATTCATTCTCTGCAATGTTGAAGTCATTGTTTCAATATTTGAACATGTTGTTCCTTGTAACCTCTTGAAATACTGTAGGGACATGCTGAGGTTACCCGGTACTTTTCTCAGCTCTGCTTCGTGCCCTCCGCACTGTGTGGGTGTACCAGCCATGTCCTTCATAATGCTCCTTATGGGGTCAACCTTACCCCCAGTGTCAACTTGAATGTCACCTACTTCTTAGACAAGTCGTCCCTGATAACTGGTACATCCAATTTGCCAGTGTCTCTGTCCTTTAATTATTCTTTGTAATAATGATCATAATTTACATATATCTATCATGATTAACAAGTATCCAATGCTCTTACTAAACTTAAAGCTCCACAGGAATAAAGAACACAGACAGTCAGTCCAGTAGGAGGGGACTTCAGATGGCCTTGTGAAAAACTGGCTGAGAAATATTTAAAATATAAACCTTATGTAATGATATAAGATCCATCAAGTTCAGAATACTTTCTTTTGCAAGTGATTTTTATCAGCCTATTCCCTGGGTCCTAAAGAATGAAGGGTTCTGGGAATCTTATCATGACAACAGAGTTCTTCTTCAGATTACCTGAGGGAAAAAAAATAGGTTCCCTTTGGATTTTAAATTATATATATATTACATATATGTTATAAATAAAATGAAGCTAGAAGGAACCAACTCAGGTTGAGTGTTTGATGACTTGCCATTGAAACTCTGGCAAAGCTGCCCTCCTCTGGTCAGAGTGAGAAGGAACGTTGCTCTGGTGGCCCAGGATTCCCTGGTGAAGACCTTCTGGGAGTCTCTGCTGAAGCTTTGTCTTTCTCCAGACCTTCTCATCATGAACAGATGCTAGCATTCTTTGGTCCTATAGGAAGTCAATAAGCAAAATGCCACAAGCTTTTCCCAAATGACTTTTGGTCTCTATTGGTCTTTGGCCTTGTCTGAACCGTTTTCCACTTTCTGGCCGTCCCTGCTTTGACTGCGCGCTGTCGGGGATTGCTGTGGTAAAGTCATGGTTTATCTCCTGTTATTACTTGAAGGAATGTTTCAGGATCTTGATCTCACCCATTTAAGATTTCCATTGGGATCTTTTATGCACAGTCGAACTGGGCACAAATTTTGGCACCCCTCAAGGAAACGGTCTGCTCAACATTCAGGGAGAACTGCGTAAGCTAAAACCAATGAGGTGGCGAAGGTGCTGATGACTGCTTCTGCTGCGAGCCACTGGTCTTCTTCAATTAGACAAAGAATGAGATTTATTTTTTGCTTACAAATGGAAGTGGATGGCTGATCACCACGTGCTTCATCTTCAACACGGCTCTCTCTTAAAACAGTAACCTATTTGCAAACCTCTGACTTCTTTCAGGCACTGTCCCCATAAACATTTTGTCAGGTGCCAATGCTTTACCATTCTTCCAACTAAGTGTCACCAAAAGACTGATATTTGTTTTAGCTTTAGTTTTATTATAATCCATGTTACTTGGACAAGAGCCCTTTTTAAGCTGATGCCTATCCAGTCCCACTGGCTCCGCAAACTGAATCCTCTAAAAATGTGTTACATTAAGTAAGTACAACTTTATTTGGTTGCAGAAAAGTTTTGAAATTCATGCATTGTTTTTACATGACACATATTGCCCATGAACTTTTGGAAGAACCCTCCTACCTTGAATCTTAAACTGTTAGCAGTGTTTGATATACAACAAGCACTAAAATATTTGTTAATTCAGTTATATGTTGTGGAGAGACAGAAACTCCTCGCTATTGTAAAACTATAAATCAGCTGTTCTCCTGGTGAGAAAGCTCCCAGAACTCAGGGCAAAGGTCCTGCAGCACTTGACATGGGAATGCAAGGGCAGGGACTTCCCTAACCTTCAAGTTTACACAGTAGATCCAAAGACAGATGCCCCTTCTCCCTATGCTATATTAATCCCTAGCAGCCTGTTAAACCATATTGTTTGCCAATTGACCTTTCCCTCGTGCACACCTGTGCGTACAGTGCATCCTGTTTCACAACCCTTGTTTGCACAGGTGACTCTGTCTTCAAGTCTGATGCTGTTAATGAACTCGGGCTACTGAGCATTAGCTGGCAGGCGTGCGTGTGGTCATCCGCTCCATGCTCCAAGTCCATTACTGCTGGACAACCAACAAGATGTCCAGAGCTTATTTTGTTCTGTAAAGCCAGTGAAACAATTTGCTTTGCAGGTAGGCAACACAGGGATAGTGCCAGATTTCTTACACATAAGGTATGAAGCAAATTTTTAACTCTGAATTCCATTTTTGCATTTACTAAAAGGTTTTTAAAATTATACTTCCATCACATACTTAAAACCAAGACCTTGTACCTGAAATTTTAGAACAATACTGAGAAGCAGTTTTAAAATGAATCAAACCTTTTCTACTAGTATAAAGTACATTCGTAGTTTTTTCTTTCGCTTTCTCAGGCATTAGACTTTGAAAGCTGTTCTGTAGCTTGTAAATAACAGAAAATTGACACTGGCATTGAGTGAGCAAGAAATGTGAGCTAGAATATCACTTCTTGGTACAAAATGAGGTTTTAAAGCCCAAGAGATGGGGAGATACCTGGTGATTTTGTTCCACTCCACGCCCTCCATGCAGGTGCAGTTGTCCTAGGCCAACCTAAAAACCAGAGCAAAAGTAAAACGAAGATCAAACTAAAAAGAAACCACCTGGGAGTAAAAAGGTTTCTGCTCATCACTCCAAAAAACTAAGTCTTCACTGCTAGACACTATTCTACTTAAACTTGTAAACAACAGAGAAGTATGCTTTTAAACACACAGCTTCCTTCTGAAATGGGGATGAGATGAAATGTTGTCAGATAGAGCCAAACTGCATTTGTCTCTAACCAACGCTAAAGGAAATGGTAAAGTGCTCTTCAGGCAGGAAGGAAAATTATCTAGAAACCTTGCAGATGCAATAGGAGTGAGCAATGGGAAAGCAGATCTGAGTGAATCCAAGCTTGTACGTCCTACATCAAACAATATCTGATCACATTCAGAGATACACAGCATAAACTTGGGTTTCTGAATTGTCCTGGAAACGGTGGAAGTGCTTATCATACCGGCCTTTGCTATCTTAGGGATGCATGCGGGGATCTACGCCTAGACAGTCTCTTACAGGGTAGGGGAAGGACAGCCAGCACACTAGGTGAGGGGCGGAGACACACCCAAACCCAAAGCGAGGCACAGAGGAAGAGGACAGAGAACATGGAATTGCCTGCCTCATAAATCGAACATTTAAACCAAAAATCATTCATGCACAATAAATAAGTTTAACCAAACAAGATAACATCATCCTAATTTCAGTGAGCTAAACTGTCAATTTACATTTTATTTGGTTAGTGATTTTTTTTTTTTTAAAGTTAAGACTCTCTTCTGTTAGTTTTAAAAAAAATTGTCCTTTGGGGACAGCATGGTGGCTCAATAGGCTAACCCTCTTCCCGTGGTGCCTGCATCCCATATGGGCACTGGTTCGAGACCTGGCTGTTCCTCTTCCGCTGCAGCTCCCTGCTTTGGCCTGGAAGAGCATCAGAGAATGGCTTTTAACCTTGACCCTTCACCCACGTGGGAGACCAGAGGAAGCTCCTGGCTCCTGGCTTCACATCAGCTCAGCTCCAGCCACTGTGGACACTTGGGAAATGAACCAGCAAATCAAAGACCTTTCTGTCTCCCTCTCTCTCTTTAAAATCTGCCTTTCAAATAAAAATAAATTTTTTTAAAATGTCTTCTTAGTTGATGTCTTTGGCTCATCCATAAGTATTGTAAATTAGAAAGAAACTGTAATGTAGTAAGTAAAAAGATGTTTTAACTTTAATATCAAAATAAGCCAGGAAGTACACACACACACACACACACACACACACACACAATATTCCGATGGCTGGCATTCATTCCCTCTGCACTGAACAAGCCCATTTCTGTTCTTGGCCTTGAGAGAATTATGTTCCAAGGTGAGAAGAGGAAGCATGAAGTCAACGGTCATAAACAGTGAATGCTATTCCAAATGTTGTCGAGATTTCTTAAGAGAAATGAGCTTTCTTCCTCGGTGATTTGAGCGAGAACCCTCATTGTCACTGTCAATGCTGCCTTCCTCACGCAGCAGCTGCCAAGCGTGCTACCTGGGAAGGTCACATGGGCCATTTTAGAGGCTATCACAGTCTAGGTCTCATCCTACACTGTGGGGTTCTTGGTATTGTTTTCAATGTTCCTCTGGTGACTTTAACACGAAGCCAGTGACTGCTTGGAGAAATGGAAAAGCTACGAACAGATCTAAGCTCCTAGCCCCGTCCCCACCAGAATAAAACACACAATGCAACAAGTAAACACGTACCTGTGCTTGTACATCACCCTTTTCAGCTAGAAACTGGTAATACTGAATCAAATCTTCTTCCAGCATCCCACTGTTCATTCCTGGATTTTCTACCTCATCGGGCAGTCGTATTCTCTGCACTACCGAGCCTCCTGTTAGCGAGATGTCACTAGCAACTGAAATTGGAGACAAAATGATGTGGAAAAAACAAACTCAGAATGATCATCTACAGAAAGGTATAATCTCAGCTGATTAGGGCTGACGAGCGAGGATGTGAGAGGAAGCTTTCTATAGTGGGCGTCTGATTATAAAGTCTAGCCTATTAATAAAATAAACCCATCATCATACAATACTGAAAAAGGGAAACCCTAAAAGAAATTCAAGAAAACAGTTCCATAAACTAGTTTGAAGGAAAGTTATGTAAGACAACCATGAAAAGTATTTCAAGTAGTACAATAAAAGCAGATTAAACTTAAAATCAGTTTTCTCTTTTTACAAGTGAAAAGGGAAAAACACATACCATGATTGGCGACAAGCCGATAATGAGTCAAGGCAGATTCACAGCTCTGGAGGACTCCGATGCCAGCCCAGTATCTGTAACCCTGGAAAACAACTGCGGGTGAGAAGGCAGTAATCTTCAAGCTCAAGGCATTCCTCTAGGGACGAATGATGCCGCCTCTAATTAGAATGCTGTCCTGTGACTAAAGGACTCAAACACCTCAGGCATGCTGCATTTTAAGATCTGAGATTGTAATTTACTAAACAATTCCAACAGCAGTGAGGATCCAAGAAATAAATCCTAGAATTCTTAGAGCAATCAAAATAAATGCCAGGGACAGGTAACTGTACACACTTGATTTAGTAAGAGGAGGAGAGACTAAACGAAGTGTGTGCATTTACATAAGAGAAAACTTAGGCTCCTGCTTAGAAAATGTTTAAATCTTATTGTAGATACAATTTTAATAAAAATGGACTAATCTTTCAAATTAACAAAGAAATTGGCAGAATATGGGAAACAGGACTACTAGTAGCAGGCCCACCAACACTAACAAGCAACAGTTTCAGAATAAGATAACTAAACGGCAGAAAGGATGATTCTTGCAAACTTCAACAATCCTTAGGGCATTACTGTATAATAGCAAAATATTTAATGTTCTTTTACAAAGTACTGATTTGAAAGGCAAGATACAGCATGGAGTCAGCACTTCCCCCATCCATAGGTTTATGCCCCAAACCTTCAAATGGCCAGTGCCAGGCTAAGGCTAGGCTCAGGTGGGTCGGAAATGTAATCCAAGTCCCCGACATGGATGGCAGAAGCCCAATTCCTTGAGCTGTCACCACTGCGTCTGAGTTTATGCACCAGCAGGAAGATGGAGTTGGGAAACCCCAAGCACCGGGACGTAGAATGTGGGCATCTCATCCACCAAGCCCAGTGTCTACCCCTTTAATGTTCTCACTGTGGAACTCTTAGTGAAGAAGACTGATAGAGTGGGTGTTGTGGTACAGCAAGTTAAGCTGCTCCTTGGGGTGCCTGCACCCTACATCAGTGTGCTGGTCCAGGCCCTGACTACTCAGCAGACAGCTTCCTGTCAATGACGGCTGCAGTGCCCGGCCTCCGCCGCCCACATGGGAGACCCAGACGGCATTCTAGGCTCTGTCTTCGGTCTGGCCCAGCCGTGGCTGTTGTGCGCATTGGAGAAGTGAACTGGCAGTTGCAAAATACCTCTCTCCCTCCCTCCCCCTTTATTTGTCACTGTGCCTTTCAAATAAATGAATCAATCTTCAAAATATGAAGACTGGTAAAAAGAATAAACAATATCAAAAATATCTAACGTGTATCTGAACTCACATGATTCACCACAAATCAGTTTTTCAAGAAGAAGGTAGAATAAACATGTTAGCAGAAAAAGAATCTGTTGGGAAATTGCTTTTTTTTTTTTTTTTCCCTCGCTTAGCCACTAGGTTAATTAAGTGATCACTCCTATCTGGTAACACTGAAGAAATACTCCTTGATGATCTTTATAGAACACTGCTTATGCTAAGTCCTTCCTCAATTTAAGCATCAAATACGTGGTAATCCAACCTAAAATTGATTCTGGTGACAGCTACAACTTGAAGAAATTTTTTTTTTTTGAGAACCATTTATTAGATCTCAATTTTTAAGGAAAAAAAATCATTGTAAGAAAAATTGTGGCACTATCAATTTTCATGTCAACGTATATTAAAATATTTCATAGTCATTAACAATAATTTGACAAATGCTTACGCAAATATTTGGTTTTAATTAACAGAAGCAGGGCCCGGCGCGGTGGCGCAAGTGGTTAAAGGTCCTCGCCTTGCATGCCCGGGATCCCATATGGGCGCCGGTTCTAATCCCGGCAGCCCCGCTTCCCTTCCAGCTCCCTGCCTGTGGCCTGGGAAAGCAGTCGAGGACAGCCCAAAGCTTTGGGAACCTGCACCCGCGTGGGAGACCCAGAAGAGGCTTCTGGCTTCGGATCGGCATAGTATCGGCCCGTTGCGCTCACTTGGGGAGTGAAGCATCGGACGGAAGATCTTCCTCTCTGTCTCTCCTCTCTGTATATCCGCCTTTCCAATAAAAAAATAATAAAAATAAATCTTAAAAAAAAAAAAAATTAACAGAAGCAAAATTTTCCACAATACAGGTTGGAAAAGTGAACACTATCAACTAGAAATTCATCTACTCGGTCCAGTGCGGTGTGGCCTAGTGCAAAGTCCTCACATTACACTCTCTGGGATCCCATATGGGCACTGGTTCGATTAATCCCGCTAGCCCCACTTCCCATCCAGCTCCCTGTGGGCTGGGAAAGCAGTTGAGGACGGCCCAAAGCCTTGGGACCCTGGACCCGCGTGGGAGACCCAGAAGAGCTCCTGGCTCCTGACTTTGGATTAGCTCAGCTCCGGCTGTTGTGCCCACTTGGAGAGTGAATCAGCAGACTGAAGATCTCCTCTTTGCTTTTCCTAGTCTATATCTGATTTCCTAATAAAAATAAAATAAATCTTAAAAATAAATTCTGCTACTACTTATTATTCTTCCACTGAAGTTATACTTACCAAAACCATGTGTGCTATAAGATTGCCCCCCAGAGCTCCAAAGGTGTAATACACCAGGGCCTAGGGAAGAAGGGAAGAGGTTCACTGAATACAGGCACATTTACTGTTACAACTACTTATTCAAGTCACATTGCAAAATGCAGTAAAGTTTTAATAGTTTTACCTTTGCCTGACTTGAATTAACACCAAGTCCAGAAGCATACAGAAAGCCAAGAGCCTGAAATAAAATGACAAAAGTAAGAATTCCTTTGATGGTGAAGACTAAAGGCAATTTAATAAAACATGAGCTAATGGAACAAAACTGATCACACCCAAACACAACCTTTACTTCATGGTTATGAATGGCTGCAATAAAGACAAGACAATTCCTCCAGCTTATATCCGTATTATTTACCTCTGCAGAATGGGATACGCTTTGTAAAAAGATAAAAGGCTTATCAAGTTAAACCTTCCCAGGAGTGAAAAGAAGCAGCAAGGGTTCAAGTCGAACGGGGTCAAAGGAGAAAGGTCACGAAGCAGTGCTAGAGCACACGTGATTTTCTAAAAACAGTCCCACAAGTCTGTGGTAAAGTTCTACCCTTTGCCTTCTGCAGACCATCCTTGGGGACAGGGAAGTGTCAGCGGACGTCAGAAAGGTGAGGTGTGGCGGAGCCTGCCTGCGTGCCGCTCCTCTCTAGTTGCTACCTTCGGCGTGTCCTGTGGTTTTGACTACAAGGGCTGGAAGCCGAGAGCCCCGTGCCTCTCTCTTCACCCTCCACGATGGCTCGGAGGCCCATGTCTGTGAGCGGTGTCACTACAAGATGGTGATTCCAAGTCTCCAGGTGGAAGAAACTGGCTTGACAGCAGGAACAAACAGCTCTGTATGGTGCTCTGCTGCTAGGATTCCATCAGTCAGTACAAATTCCAAAGGAGAGAGTGTTTTGCAAAGTGTAAATTAGTATGGTGCTGTAAGGGCCTATTATTAGAAGGAAAATGACTTACAGAGTAGAATCCTTCTTCAGAGCAGGAGGACTCCAAAAATGAAGAAAACGGGGGTTAATTTTATACAAACTGAATTTTGTATGAAAGAGAAAAGGGCCTGGCAATCAAAGGGGAATAAGAAAGCTAAACTGAAGAGCTGTAGATTTTTTAAGGTGTTTAGCTCTTAAGAAAACAATCAGTACAACTCCTGTTATTGGCCAATTTGTGTGAAAAATGCACTTCCTCTGTGATTTAAATTTTTTCCCATAGTTTGAGCCACCGAAGGCATTGAAGAGAAATGTGATGGACCCCTAATCTTGGTGTCGGTCTTAGTATTGACACCACCAATTCCAGGAGTTAATGTTAGCATTTTTAATGGGGAGAATAACAGATCCCACGTATCAACTGTTGTGATGCAATACAAAACACCAAACATTGCTTATAAAGTAGTCTAGCTGGAAATAACTTCACCAGAGTTCAGCACCCGTAGCTGTGATAATCTGTTTACAAGGAATGTAAGCAATGGGGAATCATACTCAAAGGCTCTGTGAGAAAGCAGAGACAGGGCATTCTGCAGAAAAAAAACCGGCCCCATCTCTACCACAGAAAACAAGATCAGGGCCGGAGGCTATGTTAGTTATAACTAACAACTAAATAGAGTGGACAGTTCTGGACTGGATACCAACAGTTTGGACATAACGGCAAAGAGAGTTATTTGGTTTAATGCCATAGAAATATAGTCAGTTGTAGGTCTTATGAGATGCAAAAGTTTGCAGGAAGGAGAAAGTGAAGGTGTTAATTGCAAAAAAGCAATAGTAGGGCTGGTGCTGTGGTGCAATGAGTTAAGTTTCCACTTGCTTTGCCAGGTACGATATGAGAGTGCATTTTCACGTCCCAGCTACTCTGATTTTGTTCCAGTTCCCTACCTGGGAAAACAGCAAAGGACGGTCAAAGCTCTTGCTCCTGCTACCTACGCGGGAACATGTGAATGCAGTCCCTGCCTCCTGGCTCCTGGCTCCTGGCCTGCAGACATTTGGGAAGTGAACCAGCAAAATGTAAGATCTCTGTTTCTCCTTCTTGTGTGTGTATGTTGTTGTTGTTCAAACAAGCCCAGGATGGAGTTGGGGAGAAGCCCTTTTTTTTTTTTTTAAGAAAGCAGGGCTGGCATTGTGGTGTGGCACAGTTTAAGTCTTGGTTGTTCCATGATACAGCTCCCTGCTAATGCCTGGGAGAGCAACACAAGATGGCCCTAATGTTTGGGCCCCTCTACACATGGTGAAGACCAGAAAGAAGTTCTCATGACTTCTGCCTGTCCCACCCGAGAATAAACCAGTCGAGGCAAGCTCTCTGGCTTTTCCTTTCTCTCTGTAACTCTAGTTTTCAAATAAACAAAACTAATCTTTAGGAAAAAAAAAAAAGAGACAGTGGCATTCGATTTTTAATTAAAAAATTAATATGTATATATACACAAAGACAAAGGTTTGCAGGGCATGCTGGACAGGCATCGCACCACAGCTCAGCTCTGAGCGGTGCACACGTGGTGTTTCCTTTTTAGGCATGCAGTTTCCACTAACAGAGATGCATGGCTTCTGTAAAAAAACAGTTACTGAAAAACACCAAAATGAACAAGAACTGCATCACTTGAACTCTAGAAAAAAAATGCACTGTCAATCATTTCTGTCCAAAAGTAACTACCTTCCATAAAGACCGAATTTCATAAATGTTACTGAGGGAAGATACAACTCCAAAAATGTCTGTATTAACTGCTAGAGCTCATGGAATAAGGAAAAGCTTTTTCAAGAAAACTGCTTTGCCTCAAAATTAGTATTTATAGGTAGTTAATCTTCTATCTTACTTGAATTTTTTTTTTTAAAAGATAGACTTTATTTTTACTGAGAAGTCAGATTTACAGAGAGGAGAGACAGAGAGAAAAAGATCTTCTGTCTGCTGGCTCACTCGCTCCCCAAGCAGCTGCAATGGCTGGAGCTGAGCCCATCTGAAGCCAGGAGCCAGGAGCCTCTTCCAGATCTCCCACTAGGCTACCACATTGGGTCCCCAGTCTTACTTAACAAAAGAAGTCAGGATATGCATTAAAAAAAAAGGAACTTGTGTTATATTTTTCGCTGTTGAAACACTCACGGTTTGTCCTTTGGGAGAGCCTTCCTCGGTCAGTTTCTCAAACATCTCTTTAGCTGCTTGGATGTTCTGTGGCAGGTAATCACCGAAGAGAAGGGCGTAAGACACTCTCTCCAGGGCCTTGGTGTGGTTCATGCCTGCTGCCTTCTGAAGATATCGATACGCGCTATTTTTACATAGAAACCATTGACAACAACATCAGTGATGTTTCAGAATCAGCATTACATTTTTCTCAAGACTTACTGAGTGCAATATAAATAATTTCCTTTTGTTCCAGATCTTATTTCTACTGGGTCATTTTACTTGTAGGCACACAGAACATCCTGGCTCTTTGTTTTTTACATAAGGCACTCATTCTCTCTGTTATCCTAATATTTTGAAATAGTCTACCACTGCAGTTTTCTTTTCGAATCTTTGTACAGACCAAAACAAAAGATGAAATTAAACAGACACAAAATGTTAGAAGACAACTGTCTGTTTTGCATTCTTTCCAATCATAAATTTCTAGATCCACAAAGCAACACACACACACACACACACACACCATGCTCAAACACGCTGCTGGGTTTATGTAACTTTGAATTCTGAACAGCATATACATTCTAAGAAACTACTACCATTTCTTTTTCTTTCTTTGTTATTTTTCATGATCTGGTTCCATACACACAGGGATTCCCTACACTCTCCACTGAAAAACTACAATTTTACTTCCATTTTAGATAGTATTCATCCTTTCAATCAGCAGTTATGACACTGTTTACCCGCATTAAGCTAAAAGCAAAGTCACTAACGCCCCCAAATCAGTTTTCTGGTAGTGGAAGTTGAAGCAATCTTGGGGCAGGGCAGACTCGGCCGTGACACCTACTCTCTTTTCTGGCTTTTCTTACTGCTTCCGTTGAGGATTTTCATTCCAGTCTGATACATCATCTCTGCCTCTTGCATCTGTCGTCTTTTAGTAGCCTCTTCTTCGGCTAAAAACAAGATGTCAGGCACGTTACAGTGGATTTTGATTCTACACCAATGATTTTTTCAAACAGTAGCATTCTTCCTTTTACACAGCCATACAACACCACTAATAGTATTAGTTAAAACTGTAAAAAAAAAAAAAAGAGTTCTCAAAAATTATAGATACTGCAATATAACATTTAAAATAGGAATCCAGAACTTGTCAAAAAGATATATAAATGTTTCCTAAGTACTAATAACTACAGAAATAGAAGTGAATTGACATTGTCATATTAAAAAAAATATGACATATTGCAGTAGAAAACCCATCTATGTTGGCTTATGTTAACGAACAAATTATATTTCTGTTATCTTCCAAGAATGCCCAACTATTCTATGAGAGCTATTATTTCCCTAATGTTATTTGGTAGCAAAGGGAGGCATGTCTAAGGTTTCCTGTTGTTTTCTCATAGACAGCTTTCCTTCGCCTGTAGGGGTCAGCCCCTCAGCATTGACATTTGGGCTGAGCATGGTAAAAGACTGCATCTGTCAAACGTAAGCAGAGCAAAGCACATTTCACTCAGTGAGGTTTTAAGAAGTACTATTCTTCTTGCCATGAGTAATCTTCACTCTCACAATATGTTTCCACTATTGCCAAAAAATGCTTCACATGAATTAGCTTAGTGTTCAGCCTGAGGTGTTTACAGAATGCCCTGTGCACACAAACTGCAGATCTTTAAATAAGACAGCGACACACTGCTGACCCACAGCCTGGAAACATACACATCGCACGCCTCCATCTCTTATGGCCATTCTTTACAACCATGTGACAACACGAGCCAGTAATGAAATGGAGAAAAACATGCTAAAAACAGGCCTCCGGAATATCGTGTAAGGCGCAAGGCGGTGTGCACGGCTGCTACTCACTTTCACAAAAGCCCCACTTCTCATCTGCTTTGTAGTCGTAGGTTGTGGCACACCACAGTCGACCATCTTCCCTCCCATCGGATGTACATTCATCATACTCCTTATCCAGGAACAGAAACGGGAAGTGGCAGGGCTCCCCGTGGGCCGTGCCTTCAATGGCTGTCAAAGCTAAAAAGACAAGAAATAAAAATCTAAAGAGGAACAGCACTTTTGGAATTCATGGGTTCGAGACCCTCTATTTTCACCATTAGAATCTGAAGGCATCATGATGACAAACGTGTACTGGGCAATATCAGAAGAATTTTGATTAGTGATGATTTGAGGTAAAGTCCATTGAGTGAGCATGACTGGCTGACTATTGTGCAAGTCATTCTAGTTTAGACTTTCTAAAGTTCTTAGATACAACCTTAGAAGGTTAATAGTTTACTATTAAACTCCTGCCCCCAAAATGAGTGAAAAATAAGGCAGACTATAACTATCTCTTTTTTTTTTTTTGAATGCCTTAAGGTAGTTTATTCAATAATATTAAGTTACAAACAAAAGATTCTCCTTCGTGACCGCACAGCACTGTATCGGAGTACCTGTATTGTGTACTGGGGCTGTTGTTATTACTGTTGTGTAATACTCCAGCTCCCACTGGACTTTGAGCCACTTTAGGGTAGAGGACACGTCCTCCACTCACTAGGATCTCCTACTGCTGGGAATTGTGCCAGGTGTTGGACAGGAGGTGTGGCAGCGTTCTCTGCTATGTAGGCCTTACTGCCTGGCAAGAAAACAGTCTATTCTTGCTAGAACTTCTTATGTCTAGTAAAACTGTTTAGAAATAACCTCTTTATCTCAAGATAGGCGCACTGTTGCTCACTGCAGCAGGTTACCTGTTAACCCTCACGGGGGACTCCACGTGATGGGCTCCTCCTGGTGCCAGTCACCCCGGGTAACGACAGCTCCAGAGATGACAGCTGCCACTATTCTTGCTAGCAACCCTGTTCTGAAAGGCTAAAATATGTTCCTTCTTTCTTCCCAGTATTCAAGGACACATCCTAGTATCCTATTTTAAACAGTACCTTCAGGAAGTCAGAAAAGCAGTGGGGAGTGGTCCAGCTCTCCTGGGCCTTGCCACACGTGAGAGATTCAGATAGAGTTCTGGGGTCTGACTTTAGACTGACCCGGCCCTGGCTCTCTTGGTCCTTGGAGGCTGAGAGAGCAAACGGGAGTTCTCTGCCTGTTCTCCTCCCTCTCTCTTTGCCTTCCAAATAAATCAATCAATGTCTAAATTATAATAATAAGAGTCATGCTCCAGTTTATAGCATATAGATAGCGAAACAAGCTAAAGATATTACAAGGATATAATCAATTAGTTCCAAAACTGTGTAATACAAAGATCATTATTGCCTTAACAAGGGGACACTTGAAAAACAAGTGAGAGAGAACTGCTACAATTTAAGAGAAATCTAAGATCTTGGGTTGGACACTAATTCAAGCAAACCAATTTTGAAAAGACACCTGAAACTGGAGAAAGACCCTATCTAAAAACAATTTTTACTTTGAGAGTTACAGATCCACAAGTAAAAATGTAAGTGTGGAATCTGCTTTAAAATAATCCAGGAAGTGAAAAAAAGTAGGTATGAGTGAAGTAAAATTAAGCAAGAAGAGTATAATGTTGATGGATGCCCTAGTAGGATGGTGGTTACATAGAAGCAGAGTTTTTACCACCCTCCCACTTCTCTGTCTACTCAAAAATCTCCCTAGCTAAGCTAAAAACTAACTATACCATAATATTTCAAATGGCAACACACAATTGGCTGAGGTATAGTAAAAGCGGTTGTTTCAAAGGAAAGACAGAATTACTTTCTAAAAAGCAATTTAGCAAATGCTTTCAAATGTTACATCTAGGCTAGGCCTTCTGGCTTGTGGTTAAGATGCATGCCTGCCACATGTGTCTGCTTGGTTGGTTCCCAGTTCATGAGAACACTGGCAGGCAGGGGTCATGGCTGAAGTAACTGGGGTCCAGTCACCCCCGTTGCAGAATGGGTGGTGTTCTCAACTCCTGGCTTCAGCCTCAGTTCGGCTCAACTATAACATCTGAGAAGTGAATCATTGGAGGGGAATGTACTCCCTGCCTCTCAGATGATCTCCCAATCACATAACAACCTACTTCTAAATTATGGTATATTTAAATAGTAACTTTCATATAGCCATTAATCACCTAATTATAAAATAGTTCTAAACAAGGAAAGTGCTCAGAGTAAATTGTTGAATGTAAAATGGAAGTTATAAAATAGCACAGATTTCCAACTGTTTTAGTTTTAGAAAATTAAAACAGTTTACATACAAAAATGATGCATTATTTCTAAGGCAGTGTGTTGATGCTGTCATAGGCAGACATGGTGTAATATCCACTCAGGGGAAATACAGTTACCCTTTAAAGCATTTAGCATTTCTTTATAGTTAAAGTTATCAGTATAGAAATTTGTAATCCAGTTTAGTTTTCTTATAATCATAAATCGGGGGGGGGGGTCATTATTTATGATGATGCCCTGATTGAGCTTTTAACATCTGTAGGATGTTAAAAGCCTTTGTTTCTACAGATGAGATTAAGGTACTTCAATTTTTTCAAAATGTTTTTTCTATTCACGAGTATGATATATGTGTGGTAACTAAATTATTCAAGTTCAAGTGGGGATCAGTTCCTGAAAGTAGTTAATAATGGAGCATCAGGTGGTGATGTGCGAAACCATCAACTAACTAATAGGAGGGATAAAGTAGAGAAACATTGATCATTTTTAAAGGACAGGTACTTAGCGCAATCTATTGTGAGAAAGATCAGGCTGAAAACTGAAAAATAGAGGCATCAAGAAAGTGAAAGTTTAAACAAATCAGAAAGAGGATTGAAGTTTACTTTAACTTCCAATGAAGACAGAAAACACCCCAATCCAGTTGACCATGGTGATTAAAGACGTTACGGTAGCAAAAATTCCAATACAATCCTGACAAGAACCAAAGCAGCAGGTTAGGTAACTCCTCCTCTGCTTCCATTACGGGCATCATCCTGACAGATAACTGTTACCACTAACTTTAAAATCTCAGCTATCACCCAAAATCAAAGAAAATGTCCAACTACCTGGTTTCAGCACTTTCTTTGGTTCTTCATATTCCTTAATTTCTGGATTTGGAGAATCTAGAAAGTTCATTTCTTCTGTGATACTTTCTCCCTCCTGGTTCTTGAGGCTGTCTTCCTCTTCTTGAACAGGGGATTCCAATTCTGACTCCTCTGGATCGAGAAATATCTGACCGGCGACTACTCTGCCTGCGGTGGCACGGTCCTTTACGGACTCATCTGGTGGCCCAGACTGAGAACAGACAGTATGGTTAGTTCTCCATGGCACTGAGACACCCCCAGTCCCATGAGAGCATTTCCTAACCCGATCTCCATCAGCTCACTGCCAGTGCGGCCCTACTCCTCTCCATAGGCCTGCTCTGTGTTCCTGACATGTCATTACCACATAACACTTCCACCTTCTGCAAACATCAATTTGGAACACTACTTGCCCCCACAGTTTCCATTAATTCCTAAAGGCTGGATAATCCCCTACCGGCTTCCTATGTGTCTTACACTTTCTCCACGGTGGCTCATGAATTGTAACTCCATGTGTTTGATCCATAGTCTCTCTAACCTGCACGTCACAGCTCATTCCTGACTGACCTTCTGGGATATGCCAGAACCAGCTGCACTCCCTCAATCAGGCAATAAGGTGCGGTAAGTCATTGGATTTTTATGGTCTGAAAACTTAACGGGAGTGAAAACTAATGACAGGAGATTAAGTCTTCAAAATGAGAAGAAATTAAAAACTAACAAAAAAGAATAAAACCAGCTACTCTTGAGGCAGTAATGTTACTGTCAAAGGCACTTCAGACACACACACGCTGCATTTTCAAGATGGAATTAAACCTGATAACCAACACTCTTAGGGAAATGTCTACTACCATCTTGTAGGTCAGTGATTTTTCTCCTAGAACTACACATTATTTACATTTTTCAAGAAAAATTGAATTGTTTCTCAAAAAAAATGCAGATCTCATATTTTTTCTATGCTTTTAAGTGAGCAGCAAATACTGTCCAATGCACATTGCAGTACACACCTTAGAATCTAAGGGTTCATCCTGGCTGCCTTCTTCGTCTGCAAGGAAAAATGTAAGACAATTAGTTTTTTATTGTTGGGAAATGATTCAACTAAAGCACTTGATAACAGCACGTAATAATGGCATGCAGTGTAAGTAAGCCTGAATCATCTGAAAATCGCTTGTGCTCAGTAAATGTTCAGACAGAAGTAAAAGGAAGAACTGGTCTTGGGGTTGAGGAACGGGTAGTTTTTCTGTTTCTCCAAGGAAAGTTCTATCTTTTACATGAGTTGGAAGACCAGCTAGTCAGTCCCCACTAAAACTAGACACTTCTGTAGATCATCTCATTCTGTATAGACTGAGGCTGTTACTAAATTCAGAGAGACACATCTCTAATTTCACATTCGAGGCCTCCCCCTGTTCTGTTCTGTTCAGGTGCTAGAGCTCATTACCCTGTTTACTTAGTTATTTCAGAGCTGAGCCTTTACTGTTCTCTATTCTTTTTAAAAATGAAAACTAAGAAATATTTGTTCAGCAGAACCACCAGACGAAACTAGTTAGAATCTATAGTCTACTTTACTGAATAAACAAACAGATATAGGATTTTTTTTTTAAAGCAAAGCAACAGCATATTGCCATTTATTCACTGTCATGGAAGCTATGAGAGCTATTTACTAAGCAATCAACAGCTTATATTCAACAATGATCAGCCAACGGTCTCGCTTCCCAAATTCATTCAGGCTGCTCAGGTTCTGTCTAGTTACACCCATTTTCTTCTATCGTTCCTTCCACATTCCCTGGCTACCTCTTCTGCCGTGGTGTTTGTTGCCCTTCTGCCTACTCCTACACAAACACAATTTAATGTTCAGGTGCACCTGTCTGATCGTTGTGTTCTTTTGTCGTGTTTTTTTTTTTTTTTAAAAGCAAAACTGTTAGATGTTCCCTAAGTTTACATTTTGTCCAGAAAATTACCTGGATTTACCCTGAAGGGAGTGTCAGGATTGCCTGGTCCACAGTTATTCAATAAATTCACCAGCAGACAGAAAGTTGCAAGATCATTTGACTTTTTTTTTTCATGGAAAATTGATTACTACAGTTGTCATTTACCCTTACTTCACATAATTCTATCTGAAATATTTTTCGTAACTCACAACACTTAAAAATTTAACAGAAGCAAGTCTGAAGTATTACCAACTCATCGTGCACAAAATATACAACCCTATTTCACATTTGCTGCTAATACTTGAGAAAAGTAGTCTACTAGCAATGTCTGGCAATGTATGAAAGTACTGAAAATCATAGCTACTAGTCAGCTAATTTTAAAATATTTTCAAAATGTTTTACGTTTGGCAAACAGGAAGAATGACACGTGCTGTTAACATTCAGGTAGAGACATCAGTTCATTAGCAAGCGTCCTTTCTGTTAATGTCTTCAAAAGTATCCCCCCAAGCCTAAGTTTTAACAGTTCAAATTCCATTTTCCAAAAAATTAAAGGAAAAACTACAGCTCTGATACAGACAGCTGTAATTAATTACAAAAAATCCACTAGTTAAGATTCAATGCACAAATGTGAACAACATATCCCTAAGCACCGAAGCGAAAACCTGGAACTCTAAATCCCTAAATTTAGCACCTTTGTGGCAAGAGGTACGTGGGTAGTTAACAGGTAAAGTAGGTAGACATTTAGATAGATAAACAAACTCAGGCATCTAGATCAGAAACGAATGTGTCTGTCAACCCTGGGAGCCATGGCTTGTGGCACCGGGGCTGTTTCATCTGAATTGCATCATGTATCTCTCTCTCCGGCTCTGCCTCTACAAACCAGGAACACGTACTCTGGTTACCTGTAAAAAAAATTCTTTCTCAGTTACTAAACTGGGATAGCCTGTGCCAGGTGGCAGTCTTAAGACACGTAAGCTCACATCATCTTTTTTTTTTTTTCTTTTTAAGTTGTCTATAACCTAGACACTTCAGGTAGAGATCAAACACCCTGAAGTTTTATATATAAAAACAGTAACACTTCCAACAGAGCACAGGTGTCATGGAGCATAAGAAAAGAAAATGCAGAAAGAGCCACTGTAAAGAGTAATGGCCTTCACTCTTCAGTATCACATCCAAAAAATAACGCTTTCCATTACTTTATTAACGGTACACATTCCTTTGGAATGGACCAACTTTCCTTTTTATTCTGTCGGCTAACAAAGCTGTAAAGCAATAGCGATATTCTTTCAGGGAAGAGAAATCATCCAAAAAAATCCCTTTCCTGCCTGCCATGTAAACAAAACACTGCTACCCCTTCAAATGCGAGGCATTTGGAAAGCTGTCGGTGATCAGAGTCCCAGCACCTGCGGCTTTGCTAAGGTTGCCCGGGATCAACACCAATTACACAACATTCTTGGTTCTAAATGACCTCAGCCTTGGAGCTCTAGGGTCGAGACCTTGTTTCATTACATTGTGACACATGTGGTTCAAGAGTGAACTTGTTCGGCCTCCATTTTCTCAACCTTTCTAAAGGGGATAATGCCACCTGTACTATTGGGTCACAGTGTTTTAAGGGACTAAGCCCATAGGATTAAACCAACTCTGCAATCTGCATTCGTGATGTCAGTGCAGCTGTTACGTGAAATACCTGGCAGTGGACATAATTACAAGGACTGCAGTACTTTGCAATAAAGCAGAAAGAGTAAACCCTTTGTCTCTGCCTGCCAAAGCATTTAGTTCTTTTTTCTTTTATTTATTTATTTTTAATTGGAAAGGCAGATATCTAGAGAGGAGGAGAGACAGAGAGGAAGATCTTCCGGCGGATGGTTCACTCCCCAAGTGACCGTAATGGCCAGAGCTGAGCCAATCCAAAGCCAGGAGCCAGGAGTTTCCTCCAGATTTCCCACATGGGTGCAGGGTCCCAAAGCTTGGAGCCATCCTCGATTGCTTTCCCAGGCAACAAGCAAGGAGCTGGATTGAAAGTGGACCAGCTAGGATTAGAACCAGTGCCCATATGGGATCCCAGCATGTTCAAGGCAAGTGTGCTGGGCCCAGCATTTATTTCCAAGTGGTAAAAATTATAGCCTTCATCATCACCTTGAGAAAATGAAAAGTTTGCATATCTACTCACATATCTATATCTATCTATAGATAGATATATACCTATACAGATACAGATAGATAGGTTTTTAAAGATTTATTTATTTGAAAGTCAAAGTGACAGAGAGAGTGCCTCATCTCTAATCTACTGGTTCACTTGACAAATGGCTGCATGGCTAGCGCTGGGCCAGGATGATGCTAGCAGCTTCACCTGCATCTCCCATGCAGGCCCAGGGACCCAAGGACTGTGGGACCATCTTCCACCACTTCTCCTAAGCCATTAGCTGGGAGTTTGATCAGAAGTGGAGCAGCTGGGCCTGGCATGGTAGCCTAGCAGCTCAAGTCATCACATGCACAGGAATCCCATATGGGCATTGGTTTTAATCCTGGCAGCCCTGCTTCCCATCCAGCTCCCTGCTTGTGGCGTGGGAAAGCAGTTGAGGGTGGCTGAAAGCTTTGGGATCCTGCACCCACATGGGAGACCTGGAGGAGACTTCCTGGCTCCTGGCTTCGGACTGGACTGAGGATTATCCTCTCTGTCTTTCCTCCTCTTTGTACATCTGACTTTCCAATAAAAATAAAATAAATATTAAAAAGTACTTAAAAAAGAGTGCAGCAGCTGAGCCTGGCGTGGTAGCCTAGCGGCTGGTGTCCCTGCCTTGTATGTGCCTGGATCTCATATGGGTGCCAGTTCGTGTCTTTTTTAAGTGGAGCAGCCAGGACATGGACCTGCATCTACACGGAATACCAGCATTGCAGGCAGTGCCTACCTGCCAGGCCACATCCGGCCCCGAAATGTGCACTTCTAATGCACGCCTTCCAATTTACTCAATCACAGGGAAAGCAACATGTCTAATATAAATATCATCTCTGTACACGCCTCTATAGACGGAGCCTGGGCATCAGCTGCTAACGACGACAGGAACAAGACTGACTTCCTCTGTTGACAGTCTACCCACAGTTCGCCCCAAGGAATCGCTGACATTGAAGCACAAAATTACCAACTAAAGCTTGAGTTTTAAATGGGAGAAAAACTTTACATTTTTAAAATGAGGTTACAATCCTGTAAAAATAAGCCACACCAATGAACCAAAGAGCCAAGCGGAAGTCTAAGTACTCAACTGAAAGAAATTCCTCTGTGTTTTATGATGTTTGAGCTTCCATAAGCACAGCTGAGTACGGTTGTTCCTGGCTGTCCAGGGAGGGGAATGGGAAGGAGGAGGTGGTCCCACAACGCCCCATGGATACTAAATTGTGTGAATGCTCAAGTCCCTGACAATACAGTGTCACAGTATTTGTTTTTTTTTTTTTTTTTTTAAGATTTATTTATTTTTTTATTACAAAGTCAGATATACAGAGAGGAGGAGAGACAGAGAGGAAGATCTTCCATCCAATGATTCACTCCCCAAGTGAGCGCAACGGCCGATGCTATGCCAATCTGAAGCCAGGAGCCAGGAACCTCCTCCAGGTCTCCCACGCGGGTGCAGGGTCCCAAAGCTTTGGGCCGTCCTCGACTGCTTTCCCAGGCCACAGGCAGGGAGCTGGATGGGAAGCGGGGCTGCCGGGATAGAACCGGCGCCCATATGGGATCCCGGGCGTGCAAGGCGAGGACCTTAACCGCTGCGCCACAATCCGGGCCCGTGTCACAGTATTTGTAAACAACACGTCTATACTCTATCTGCAGTTTCTAATTGTTAAGTAAATAGTTGTTACACCATAACATGTTCAGCATAAATGCAATTTTTTTTTTCCTATTTTCCACCAGCATTGATTGGCTCTGTTGATGCAGAGGGCCCACTGTCTGTCCTCGCTACCTTTCAGTATGCACACCTTCAGTTCCAAGTCAGGTTTCTTAGCTTTACCAAAGAAACATCTTGGCACAGCTTTACCTGTGATGGTAAGGGTTCGTCTCCAGGTACCATGTCCAGGAGCCTGGAGGTCTGAGTATGTGAAATAAAGTCAAAGACAGAGGTGGGAAAAATCTACATGCTTTAATTTTCACTGTACTCTCCAGATGAAACCCAGTGGCATACACCTGGTATTCTTGACTGCAGTGCTCCAACTTTAAAGAAACAATGACAGATCTTGCCAGCTCACAGATACCTGACCTGTGCCGGACCTGAAACTGAATTCTCACAACCTCCCATTCACACGCCCTGCCGCATCTTCTACCCACGAAGCTCACCAGCTGCACTTTGCATTCGCTTGGATCCAGCAAACACAAACCATCACTCAGGGAGGAGGGAGGGAAGCGGCCCTCGAGCCCCGCTGGCAACAGGTGAGTAGCATATGCTTGTGACGCCATAGCTCAAATCACAACATGAACAGAAATTTTGGTTCAGGCTTCTTATTTTGGAAGCAGAATGATGTTACTGGCATTGCCTCACAAGTAGGACACATACTTGGGGGATTGAGATAGCATTCTGAGAAATTTTCCATCAAAAAAGAAATTAGTTGACATATCCCCTCTTGTTCTCAAAACAAAACAAAAACGTACAGTCACAGAACAGCTGTCTTGCTAACTGAAACTTATTAAAATTGCAAATCTTCAGTTGTCCCACCCTTTACAAATGCTAAGTATTTTTTTAAACCAATGCTGAAAATTTCTCTGAATCGGGCAGACTAAAACACACAGGGATTAAAACAAAATTATTTACACAACCGGACTATAAACTAGATCACGGAAAGATCAACTCAAATGCACATGAATTCATCTGTTTTGTAAAAAGTTAAAACCACTGGCTCTTCAGTTAGGACGACCAAGATTTTCTCAACAATGATAAAAATCATTGTTAACACACACGGGGCAACTCTGACATTTCAAACGCTCACTTTCTTAGAAAGCTTTTGACGATAAAGTTAACAGCAGTGGCTACAATTACATCCGAAGTCTTGGAGTGAAACAAACAGCTCAGCCATCACTTGCAGGTGTTTAGCACACCACTGTCAACATCCTGGTGTTGACGGATCCCGCTCTGTCCAAAGTGACAGCTGCAGTTGTGCCAATTACTTACAAGCCCCGGACAGCCTCGAAGCTCCCGTCGGGCTCCCGGGTCGCGGGTGGCCTCGGCCAGCTCTTGGGATCCACTCCCACCGAGTTAGGTGAACTTGGTTACGTGGGAGACAGCGATGGGTAGCGTGCTCGCCCCCGTCGCTCCTTTCTCCCCCTCCAGCTCCCTCAACAACAGTCCCTTCGGCCTAGGCCACCCGAAGCCCGAGAAAAGCAGCGAACGACAGGTCAGTGAGAGGTGTGACCAGGGCAAAGCGGAGTTCGGAGCCTGACGTTCCCATCCCTCCGCCCAGGGATGGAGGCCTGGGGGGGTCCGGCGGTTCCAGGCCTTCAGTCCGAGGAGAGGGGAGGATACTGACCCGAGGACGCCACGGCAGGACCCAGCAGCACCGCACAGAGCAGCAGCGTCAGCCCCGACTGGACCCGCATCCTGCTCCCGGAGCCACCTCCACCCCCTTGGAGCTGTCGCCTTCCCTCGGCCACCCCCGACTCAGCCGCCTCTCGGCTGCTCTTCCTGCTCCGGCCGCCTTCCTCCGCCCCTTCCCAGGCCGCCCCGAGCCGCAGCGCAGCCAATCCCCGGGCGCCGCCGAGTGTCCTCCGCCCAATCGTCGTCGTTTCCCCGCCCACTTGGCCGCCCCGCCCCGGATCACCCATTGGCCAATGACTGCGCGGGGCTCTCGCTCCGGTTTCCCCCGGTTGGGCCACGGCCTCACCGACATGGCCCCAGCTAATTGGTGGCGGCTGGATTCGTCCCTGCTGGAATCAAAACGTGAGTCACCAGGGCTGAGGGAAGGGCGACTTACCCGGGACTACAAGTCCCACAATGCACTGCATTGGATTCCTTCGGCTTCTGCTAGTGGGAAGTGTAGTGCACCGTGGGAGCAGGTTTTCCGGGGCAGGTGCACGCTGAAGTTGAGTGTTAGCACCTGGACTACACAAGCCTGCTTACTTTTTAAAAATAACCCGAGATAAGTGTTAGCACATTTAAGGATTATGAATTTAACAGCTTCTCTTTTATTTAGAAAATCTGATGAAATAGTTAGTACGATAATGCAACTCCCTGTCCTCTTGCCGACCTAACAGAAGAAACTTAATTCTTCCTGGTGTGGATTATCCGAATGCTAGTGTGTGTGTGTATATATATATTTTTACTGGAGCCATTAGATAATTCGTTTCAACAGTTTTGTGAAACACGTTGAAGCATTTGTTCCTGTCTTTTTCTTGCTTGACTGGAGTTGGGAAGCTAAGCTGATGTACAGGGAGACAAAAGTGAAATTGGTGGAAATTGATTGCAGTGTGGAACCACAAACAGCTCACAGAAGCTCATGTTCCAGGCATGCTACCACAAGGTACCAGGGCTGTAACCTGGCGGAGCTGGCTGTTGCCTCATCACATTGTCATCCTGCTTTCCCTGGCAACCACCCACAAGAAGTCCCTGGGCCTGGAACGTTTATGGCTTTGGAAAAGTCTTCTGTAACCATTTTGAGACTTTTGGACATTTACATTGGGTCCTTTTTGGGGGGGGGGGAAGAATCCCCTTTTTGGAAAGAGAAAAAACAAAAGTGCTATCACTTATTTACATCAGAGGCATGATGGAAAAGTTACCGTCGCAACCAGAAAAACAAATCCTTTCTACCAGAACCTACATTTCTGTTTCCAACAACGTTCCCGCAGAATTCCTCTGATTTTAAAGCACAGAACCAAATCTGTTTTGTTTTTCCTCCCTTTTCCACCTCGTCAATCACCAAGTCCTACCGGGACTGGATAGACGCAGGACTGATGCAGTCAAGCCCCTCCTGAGCCGGTGTGCATCCATCTCCAGTTCCAGCCCAGCCAGGAGAAAGGGGGATCCAGACCCTGCCCACCATTCATTCCCTGGATTACCAAAGCAGCAATGACACACGTACACAGCACACTGCCACCCGATGTGACTCTCCTAGGGAGTGGACACGGCCACCATTTTGTGTCCTGTACAAAAACAAAGCCAGCCGATCCGCGCAGAACTGGTTTTAAATGAGTGTGAGATGTGGAGAGAGACCAGTCGAAAGGCCTGGTGAACTGCAGATTGTGGGGCCCAAACTCCAGGGGGGATTGCTACACTTCCCCCACCCCAAGAAAAAAACACCTGTCCAGCTCCCAGGAGGGCCAGCGCTGTTTCTTTTGTGTTCAGAGATAAGCTGGGAGTGAACCTTGTCTGGCTTGCCTGTTGGGCTCTTGTCAGTTTCCATTTCAAATGAGCCAAAGAATTTTAGCTCAGTACAACTATCTACTTTAAGTAATTATTTGTTGTATTTTCTGTTTTGTTACTTATCTTCCCCCGCTTTTGTTCTCACTGAAAACTTTCCTAAAGGCTCGTATTTCCCTTAGTTGGAAGATGCAACTGAATTCTTACAGTGTTCACAGACTGACCTCTTTCCTGTAATCTAAAATCACACACTATGACCATGTTAAGTGGTCCTTGAAATTGCATTCATCTGCCTGCTCAAGCTTTCCCACTAGCCACCCTTTCTCACAGAATTAAAATTAAAATATATATTAGAACTTCATCTATTCACAAAATAGGAATGTATGCTGGCACTCTTACTCTTTTGGGTTAGTAATGGGGAAAAAAGAAAAACTTTTGGGCCTGGCAGCGTGGCCTAGCGGCTAAAGTCCTCGTCTTGAACGCGCCCAGGATCCCATATGGGCACTGGTTCTAATCCTGGCTGCTCCACTTCCCATCCAGCTCCCTGCTTGTGGCCTGGGAAAGCAGTCGAGGACGGCCCAAAGCCTTGGGACCCTGCACTCGCATGGGAGACCTGGAGGAAGTTCCTGGCTCTCGGCTTCGGATCAGCACAGCACTGGCTGTTGCGGTCACTTGGGGAGTGAATCATCAGACGGAAGATCTTCCTCTCTGTCTCTCCTCTCTGTATATCTGACTTTGTAATGAAAATAAATAAATCTTAAAAAAAAAAAGAAAAAGAAAAACTTCTGTCTGCCATAGAAGAAGGAATAATTACTTGATAACGTTGGGGCAAGTTTGCCACTTGGTTTAGATCCAGCTTCTTGATTCATTTTTGACCTTATTGAGTACATCTTGAATTTCATACATTGTGCTAGGTGCTGCGTGACTCGGTTTTGTTGTTTTACTGCTTTCAGATTTCCACACTCTTCCCATCTTTCCTTCCCTGGGCATCCCTAGTTTCTTCCCAATGCCCTTGTTGCTGCTTTGCCCCATTTCTGGCACCCATCCCGATTTTGCTCACTTTTCCTCAGTGCTGACTTACTCAGCCAGGCCTCTCTTGATTACTTCTCATGTTTTAAACTATGAATAGAACATTCACAACCTTTTAACTACAGATTTATTTTTCTAACAAAGATTTATTTTAAGCAGAGAGAAAGATCGATTTTCTGGTCCACTCTACAAATGGCCTCCATGGCTGGGGCTGGGGCAGGTTGAAGCCAGGAGCCTGGAGGTGCATCCTGGTCTTCCACGTGCGTGGCAGGGGCCCAATAAATTGTGCTCTCTTCAGCTGCTTCTCCAGGTACATCAGCAGGGGGTTTGGTCAGAAGTTCATCAACTGGAACTCCAACTTGTATCGTAGGTGGCTTCGCCTGATGTGCCATAATTCTGACCCCAAAGATTAATATCTTTATTCCACAAGGAAGAGTGTTGAGGAGAGAAAGAGAGAAGGAGAGAGAGAGAGATCTTTCTTCCAGTGGTTTACTCCAAAATGGCTGCAACAGCCAGGTGTGGGCCAGGCTGAAAACAAGATCGAACAACTCCATCCGGGTCTCTGACTCAGAGGCAGGAGCCAAACCACTTGGGCCGTCTTCGTTTGCCTTCCCAGGAGTATGAGCAGGAAGCTGGACCAGAAGCAAAGCAACCAGGATGCAAATTGGCACAGGTATGAGGATGCCAGTTACACAGGGAAAACTTAACTCACAGTACCGCGACGCTAGCCCTCTGGGTAATTTTTGTTTGTTTGTATTTGCATGGATTGTCTGCTTGTCAGAGGTGATATTATGATTTTGCTTATAGACATCTAGAACTGGACTTTCCACCTTCTAGCACTTGATAATGGCTGTTTTGATAGGTATGCCCTTATTGATAGATGCACCTTACTTCTCTGCATCAAAAGAGATACAAGAAGAGAGTACTTTGATCATCCCTCTTCCCACATCTCGGACCGGTAAAGTTACATTTGTCTTTCCCCTGCCACCTTCGAATCTGCTTTGAAGACTAAGAATTTCCCTGGGAACTCAGGCTGTTCTCCACCATCTTCTGCCGGGGGTAACGGAGAGCTGCTACTCAGCAGGCATGGATCTGAGTTATGCAAGGTGAGTAATTTCTAGAGATCCACTGAACTAGATTGTGTGTGCAGTTAACAATATGCTATTGTGCACCTAAAAGTTTCTTGGGACAGTGGATCTCGTGCTAATGGTTCTTAGCACAATAAGAACAGAATCTCGAAGAACGAGGCCCTTCCGAGAAGTTCTGAAAGGAGGCTGCAAGCAAATAAAACCACTTATAGCGTGACTCAGAGCAGAGAGCACGGCAATGCAGAAGGTGAGGTGTTCTCCACATTCCCAGAGCGTCGGAGTTACTCTCTGCTGAATAAGGCGCAAGTTTTAGCAACTCTAAACTGTTCACAATGAAGGGAGCAAACAAAACTAATTTCTTTCATTTCCTTCATCCAGCAATCGGTAAGAAATAATTTTTTAAAAAAGGTTGTCAATTCTCTTTGTCTTTCTCTAGTCTGAGAACACATTCCTGAAGGGTCCCTGCCAACATTCCCAGTTCAAATTATGTACTCACTCTACTTGTACACAATGTTCACTTATTAATTCACGGGCTTCCTTAATATTTACTCAGCTGTCCTCTGCTCACTGTCCCCGTCAGTTCTCTGATTATTGTAGATTTCCAGGCTGTAGAAAACCTGTTTGCCCTACGAATGCAAACTCGTGTAGGTCACGAATAGGGTAGCTCATAAATACCGTTCCATGCAGATGACGTCGATGGAATCTCTTTTCATCGAAATAAAACAATCATCAAATGTTGAAAAATTCCTCAAGATGTTGAGGTTGTAAGCCCAGCCTGGGGCTAGCACTGTGGCGAAGCAAGTTAAGCTACTGTCTGGCACCAGCATTCCACATGGACACGGGTTAGTCCTGGCTCCTCTGGTTCTGGTCCAGCTCCTTTCTGATGCATTTGGGAAAGCAGTGGAGGATGACCCAAGTCCTTGGGTCTCCCGTGAGGGTGCAGTTACTGGGTGCTACAGCCCAGCCCGGCTGGCCTACCCCCAGATCCAGCCTTGTATGTGCTGGCAGGTCCTGTGGCTTAGACAGGGTGACTCCCCAAGAACCGCTACCTGGCTTGTGCCCAGACCAGGCCCCTGCACGTGCCAGTCGGGGCTGCGGACCAGCCTGGCCTGGCTGGCCCTAGATCCAACCTTTAATTTTGATAGCAGGTGCTACGGCTTAATTGGGAAACCCTTGTGAACCCCTTCCA